GGAGGGGTTGAGTGCGTAATCCGAGAATGTAATGTTTTGGACAATATATGTCGGAGTTGAAGTTGGACTGAGAGAAAATTAATAAAAGAAGAAAAAAAAATAATTGAATTTTGTGTTAGAAGTTGTCGTTTTGCTGTGCTCTCCTTGTTTTGCGGATGTTATAGGAATAGGAAGAAGGCTTTTTCACTGTGAAAAAGACTGTCTTGTGGCCCTGCCCGGGGAAAATATTCCAGGGGTACTTTTGTCATTTCACTTCAAAACTACCTCTATTTAAATATTTTTTTAGTACAACGGGTGGGACTTGCATGTTCGAATTCGCTAACTTCTAGTCTGATATACGTGCTTTTAATTTATTGAATTATACTCAAGTCCCGACAACTTTTACTTGGTGATATTTCTATTTTTGGCTCTTATGACTTGATGTTGACATCACTTTTATAATTGTTAAATGGATAAAAGAGAATGACAAATATTTTTAATCATGTATCTCAYAGTGATACCACTTTTGGTGAACTTATCTCTTCTTACCTTCAATTCGAACTCTAGAGAATGGATAGTAGTAAAAAAAATAAAAAAAATTAAATATTATTTTAGTTCATGTATTTTTAATTTTGGTTCATAGTAATAAGTAAAATGTTATGCTAAAATTGTGAGAGAAAGAATTGAATTAATAATGAAAACTAAAGGAGTAAAATAATTACTTTTTCTAAAAGTACCAGGATTAAAATGAACATTTTGTAAGTACATATTAAAATAAATAAAAAAATTGAGAGCACAAAAATAAAATAGACATTTTGAAAGTAGAAGGACAAAAAATAGATATGAATTAAATTGAGACCAAATTACAATCATAACCGTGTTTTGTAGATTCTATATATATTTATTTATTTACTTAAAAATTACAAAAAAATAGCATAAAATAAAGTAAAATGAAAAGATTCAAGATATGAATTAAATCGAGACCAAATTACATTCTGAAACCATATTATTTTGTCCTTTGCAGATGAAAACTTTTAACTTAAAAGTTGCCAATACTTTAACTTGAACCGAAGTACAGACCAGTGTTAGTTTTCACTTTTCAGTCAGGGTGTTCTCAGATTCTTGATTTTCGTATTTTACCCCTATATACGTGTCACACAAATAAATAATTTCCAAGTACCTATCTTGATTGAGTAAATTTCGAACAAGTTATTGAGTGCTTGGAAGCCAAGTCCTGTACTATAGTAGCTTTCAATAAATCATAAGCCTTCATTTCTTTGTCTAGACCGTTTGGACAAACTAAAAAGAGACTCGAAATATGCCAACCTAAGCATAATTTAATAGGTTAAAGTACCTATGTTCGACCAGAATTCCTATGTTCTATATTCGACTAGAGTTCGAATCTCCACCCCAATATAGTATCTTTCAATAATTCATAACCCTTCGTTTCTTTATCTAATAGACCAACTAAAAAGACTAGAAACATGTCAACCCAAACATATTTAAATATATACTAAGAAACATGAAAATCTGAGCGTAATTTAATTGGTTAAATGTTCGACCAAAGTTCGAATCTCTATCAAATATTCTGACTCAAATCAGTAAAATTCAGAAAAATTCACATCTTAACTAAATATTTTTCAAATTCCCAGATATTCTATTCCTGCATAACAATTCAATACCTTCAAACATCTAATTCTCATATATTTCAATGCATTTCATTCCTATCACACCATCAAACAGAGACCATCATCTTACCTTGTTGCTCAGCTCACACCCCACCACCATTGAAATGGGGATTCGTTTTCATGGGTTTCTCCAATAAGACATCAGAAATATTCACTCTTTTACTTCTACTTCTGCACACACTGAAATCCCACAGAAGTATTTGCCATAACCTTCATTGATGCAGCTATGGTGAATCAACGAGGGAGCAGATGACAATGAAGAAAGAGTTTATAATAATATCAGGGAAAGAGAAACCAGTAAACCACCCTTTCCACATGGATATGGATAGAATAAGGCTCTGTTCATTAACATACGTTTAAATATTGATATATATTTGGATAAGTCAACGCATATGGAAAACTACCTATATTATGGACAGATAAAATATAAAATAACCAATCGTGTTATTCCAAAATTGAACATTAGAATTTTTAAAAATTATAACAACCTATATCCCAATGACAATCATCAGCCATCACATAAAAAAGGATTTATAGTTATGCTAAATTAAAACTAACGAGCAGTTAGAATTATCTCTGGACCTCTACCACGTCGAAGGCTGTAGCTTCAATTCACCCTGAAACAGAGAGTTGGAAATTAAAGGGGGAAAAGAGATGGAAGAGGGAGAGGAAATATCCAATGAATGAGTTACAAATAACCAAGATTGTTGATACTGCATCTCTAAAATTTAAAAAAAGAGAAGAAAAAAGGAAGACGTTTCAAGTTGAGATTAATAAGATAATCTATAGAGTTGTGTCTATGCATAGCCATTGGAGCAGAGCACCAGACTGGACACATGCATTCGAACTTTATAGAAGTGGTTATGCTTTTCACATCACATAAGTTCGAGGGAATATCATTTCAGGTTTATTCGATCACAGACATTCACTTCAAGTACCTATAGTTATGAGAGTGAAAATGCAGAATGCAGTTGACCATTTCGATCGGCAGTGTTTCACATCACACACCTTCTTTTTTCCTTTTTTCTTTGGTGGGGTGGGGTGGGGTTTTACTATTTCAAAATTCCATATAGATATATATTGAATTCAGGTCCATACAAGCTTCAGAGTTGAGAAGGCACTGCGTCACTCACAAGATCTTAAGAAGTAGGTTATTTGTGTTTTACATCAGCAACATTCATTAAAATAAAATAAAATGAAATAAAAAGGTTGCACGGAATCCCAGATCTCAGAGGCCTAATTAAGAACAAGCATATGCTAGCTAACTGAGGTAAGAGAACCATACCTTTCCATCGAACAGTCATCAGGAACAGCTTCCAAGAACGTTCATCAGCTGGAATGATACAAGAAACTTCAGGTAGTATGTTGCTGACAAAGTTTTAGCCCTCTCAATGCCACAAAGATTCTGTGGTCAGAGACAAAAAAAGAAAGGACTTAGGAAACTTAGACACGAGGTTACTTTACTTCCCTCCTTTCATCCACGATTCCTAGCAGCTGAGACAAGCTGTACAGCTGGTAAAGAGTAAAACTAACTTATCACAACACTAAGTACAGATCCAGTAAACTCCAAAAGTTTCTCCTGTGTGCAAGAAAACACCTCCATCAATGCCACAAATAAAATCCAGGTCCATTCTTGTAGTCTGAAGGGATAGCATAAACAATCCTTGTCAAAATCAATCATATATGCTACTGGCTAGCGTATTATTCCCCACTTCCAAGTGAAAAGTCTCTTATAAACGCCCCATTTGCATCTGACAACCATTTAATCTCCCAGCCGAATCTCCCATTGCTCTAACACTGCCATTCTCCAATCCACTCTTAAGCCAAGCAAGGTTACTTATGTCAGTTGCAATTGCAGCTAATTCAAAACTGGGAAAGGATGGTGGAGGATCTGAGAAGTCTACAAATTCTGGCCCTAACAAAGAGTCTACAGGAGATCCCTGGTTATGACTCTCACAACAACCATGGCCACATTGATGGGGCACTGATCGATCACCATAGACACCTTCAAGCAATTTGCTAGCTTCAACGTCTGGTTTTGATGCTTGAACTAATGGTCCTTGCATCGGAACAGGTCGTAAAAATGCCCTCAAAGACTCTTGCCCATCCAAAGGGTTGTATACACTAAAAGCACTTACTCGAGCCACCGGCCTGAAAAGAGTAGGCTGTTCTTTGACTTCATGACTAAATTGACCCTCAATAGCAATAGGTACTTTGTCTTCAAATTGGTCATCCATATGCTCCCGTGAGCAGGCGTCTCTCGCTTCCAAGGATTTAAAGGAATTGACATCTCCACATGAAAGGGTTTCTTCAGATGATCCTTTGGTTTTTTCTAAACTAGCATCATCCACCATGTTCCCAGATTCTAACTTGATTCTTTCAAGCTCTGTGCATCGCCGCCGTAAAGTGGAATTCCAATGATTCTTTATAGCATTATCTGTTCTCCCAGGTAAAAGTCTAGCAATTGCTGCCCACTTATTTCCATGTATGGCATGGGCTGCTACAATGATCCTGTCCTCCTCATCTGAACATAATTATATCTTTAAACCACTTTTACTAATAAAATTACACAATTATATTAATAAATGACCACCATTTAAACAGGATATAACCAAGATCAATTAACACAATGCATATTTTCACCCACCCATGGAAGCTGGTATACGCAGTGCAAATAAAAAAACAGGAAAAATGCACATTCACATACGCTATGAGAGAAAAGGTGTGTCCCATATGCTATTTGCTTAGTTGTATTTGTTTGGCTGACAATCTAAATACATAATATGGTTCACATTCCTTTATTTTTCAGTTAAATATTTGAAAGCAACATAGATCAGACAAGTCTCGTGCCAAAGTCTTAAATGCTTGAGAATCATATAAGAAAACTTCTACCTTCACACAGAATTTTGAATTTCACAACAATGAACTACAAATCTCTAAATTTGGCTCATAAGGACGACTACCAGATTAGAAAGCAAAATAAGAAATCCACGTCATACTTGTTCGTGTTCAACTCGTGTACTTTACCTCGCATAGAACTTGACCACAAACACAAACGTCATTTTCATTAATATTTATGATGGCATCGCATTACATTATAATCCTACTATACTAGACGAAAAAGAAATTACGGAAAAGAGCAATGTCCAACAAAACAATTTAGGCTCCAGAAAGAAAAATAATCATCACGGAGAATCAACTGAGATTAGACATCTAATTTTAAATCAAAAAGCATATAACTCAACTCTCCAGACGCTTAACACTAACAACCATTCAGAATCGGGCCCGCAAATGAAATAAAGAATCAGACGAGCAATGAATGATCAGAGGTAGAGTCTAATACCGGTGAATGGCTTGCGTTTCACGGAAGGGTCGAGTTGATTACACCACCTAAGGCGGCAAGACTTTCCGGATCGCCCAGCGATTCCCCGAGCAATTAAGCTCCAATTCCTCGCCCCGAACTTGCTCACGAGGCGGCTGAGTATCGCATCCTCTTCAGGAGACCAAGGCCCCTTCACTCTATCTTTGCCGCCACGGCCACCACTTGCTTCTCCCTCACCGACGATCGGCACTGCGTCGTCCCCGCTCCCGCAGTCGGCAACGGAAGTAACGGCATCACATGCATCTACTCCTCCTTCAGCGGCGGTAGCATCGACCTCGGCGACGGCCGTGCCCTCCATCCCGGACTCTCACCGGCAAGGCAACCGTCTACGGAACACAGTCACTTTATTGACTTAACTGCTCTTGTTTCAATACGAAACAAAGACGACCGAATAAAATTTATAGGGCAAATGTTTCGGAATTTCATTCTTTCCCAATTCCCACCCAATTACCAAACTGTCCATTTCATAATTACTTTAATACCCTCCTCCCCTCACTCGCCAATTCCCACTTTTTTTTATTCTAATTTTGCTCTATGGCTAAATTTTACTGCATTTTAATCAATTTTGGAAATAATTAATTTGAGATTTTTTTTTCAAAGGATTAATTTAATTTGAGATTTTAGAGGAGTAGTTGAAATTTAAAATTCGTTTGAGGATCAGGGACTCGCGTCTAATTAGCTAGTTTGTGAGATAATATCCTACAAATACAATGATTAGTATCTGATTCGAGAAAATGATTAATCATACTTGGACTGACACACGTTCCAAACTCCTAAAGCAAAAAAAGTGCGAATGTTTATCTATTACAAATCGAGATGAATACTATATGGCAGCAACAACAAATTTTTTGCTACTAATTTTAGATACAGGAGGAATAGATTTTTCCAATTCGTTATCATTAACAATTCTTGACTACTTAATAAGTAATTTTCAAATTTCTTAAAACTTAAAAACATAGATGTTGAATAACTTTAAAATTATACTACTAACCTATTTTTGTAATATTCAATCCAAACATTACTAAGCAAATATAGCATCAATTACCTTCTTTAAAATCAAAGTTGAATTCACTTGCATGTAAATTTTTAGTGAAATATAGATATTTTATGCAGTGGAATTCTGCACAGTTGGACTTTTTGTTAACAAAATTTTCATATCATTCAGAATTTATTTTGGTTCGGTAGTGAGTCTATTTTGGTAATTCGACCATTGCCCCTCTAATCTGTTTAAAATCCAATGCCGATAATGCCCATCGAATTGAAAGTTTTACCATACAGGCACTGAACCGAAGGAAATGAGACAAATGGGCCGGCCTGAATTACTTCCGGAGCCCAAATATTTCGAATGGGCTTCTTATGTGGGCTACATAGGTCCAGTGAATGATACAATCGACAGTCTTTAAACGACATGTCGTCCACTTGCGCAAGTTGTCATTGGACGACAGCTGAAAAAAAAATTACACTTCAACTGGAACTACTCTCGTTTCTTCAACTATTTGGACGAGAAGGTTAAAATTTTAAATGACAAATTGCAAAAATCACCCTTAAAATATAATCATTGTTGCAATTGTACCCTTAAACTTTCAATTGCAAAAATTAAACACTTAAATTTTAACTAGTAGGAAAATTGAACCCTTAAACTTTTATGAGTGAAAAATTTATACCCAAAAATTTTTAATTGTAAAAATTAAACCTCAAAACTTTCCTAATTGAAAAAATTACAACCTTAAAATTTATAACTTTAAAAATTAAACACTAAAAACATTTTTTTTACGGTCACATTGTTATCCTTTCTCTTTCATTGCTCTCCCTTTCTCTACTTTGTATGCCGGTCGGCGAGAAGACATATGTAAACAACAATGGAAAGAGTGGACAGGTGTTGTGGGTTGGGAGGATTTGGGGCCATGTAAGATAAGAACGCATTACTCCAATGGAAAATCTCCGATGTCTACAAAGTCTCTCGAAATTGGTGGACGACATCTATGTGTTTCAATTTCTTCAAGATCTGGAGTGCCAAGATCTTGAAGGAGACATCGAGAGAAAGAAACGCAAACATTGGTCAGGAGTTGAGGTCATTCCGAAATCTGGAGAGGTTGGAGTTTCTAGACATTCACAAATTTTGGAACACCCAGATTTCTCTCAGGTTGAAGGAGGTTATTGGGAGAGTCAATTTTCTCGGAGGACAGAGTCCAGAGATATGGAAAAAACTCATATCAGCCTTTTGAGGAATAGATTTTCCGCCATGGATTAATCAGAAAAATTCCTCTCAGAATTCTCTTGTACTTGACGATAATAACCTTGAACGAAAATTGCCCATAGGACCAACTCTCATTTCTCCATAGTTTCATTATCAATTTCCATCAGCCCAGTGCTCAACTTCTATTTTTTTATGGTTTAATTTTTAAAATTGAAAGTTCCATGGTCCAATTTTTTCATTTACGAAAGTTTAAAGGTTTAATTTTTACCATTGAAAGTTCATGGGTACAATTTTTTTTCACTTACATAAGTTTAAGGGTTTAATTTTTCTACTTGAGAAAGTTTAAGGGTCCAATTTTTATAATTAAAAGTTTAAGGGTGAAATTGCAACAATCATCATACTTTATGAGTGGTTTTTGCAATTTGCCCAATCTTAAAAATCGATATTAAATCCAGAGAAAAATATAGATAAAATTTTAATGTGGTTAAATATTTTTAGAAAAATTATAAAAATAAAAAATTCATAACAAATATTTAAATTAATAAACAAGTATTTCAATATTTTTAAATAAGTCAAGAATTATCAATATTAATATTAATATTATATCTTTTTTTACATAAATATTATGTCAATTTTTTATACTATAAAATCTATATCGGTGCTAAACTTACAGACCAGATCAAATTAAAATAATACCTATTTGACTTCCATCAACATCATACAGTGGTTGTAAAAAAAAAAAAAGAAAGAAACATCTTATGGTAAAATTGTTATTATAAATGTTTTGCCAAAGCACACTAGCACAGACGTACACGAAATCCAAAACTATAATAAAATAATACCCAAAAAAACATAAATTTAATAAGGTTTGAATCCTTTGATAAGATATTTACTACTTTTTTTAGGAAATAGAGAGAAAAAATATACAAAACAGTTGTTCTTGATAAATCATAGAATTGAAAATTCTAAAAAAAATCTTTGGATGAATGAGGATGGGTTTATCTTCTTAAAAAAATAATAATAATAATAAATAATAGTCACAGCAAAGTTAAAAAATGGTGAACATTATTATTTGAACTATTGTTTGAAATGATCTTTTTGTGATGTCATGAAGTCAATTTGATAAAGCAACGATTTTTTTTTAACGACAAAATTTTAACCGATTTACAATATAGTAATTTCAATATGGTCCATGCTATTTAGTTGTTTCGAAATTATTTTTGTCCCCTTGTAAAAAAAAAAAGTTTTTGTCCAAATATATATTGATTTTTTTTTTGGAAGACTTAAATTTTTAAAATTTTTAAGAGAAGGTTATTTATTAGGTTTAATTTGCTTTTAAAATTTTATTAATATAGTTATTTGATTAAAGCATATCATAGAAATGGAGAGGAAATCAACCTAACTTTTTAAATTTAAAACAAAACAAAAAATCGCATTTACTGTTTTTAAAATTTAAGTTTATAATATCTACCCTTCTAATTTTTTATTTTTAAAAAATGCATTCGTAATATTAGCCATCTTTTCTAAAAAGAAAAAAGCTTTAGGTAGGATTTAATAAAATCAAGGAGTGTTCTGTAAAATACAAGGAAGAGAGTGTTGGATTGTCTCAAAATTCTTCCCCAACTTGAAGAATTCGGTAAAGAATTCAGACGATGAATCGTGAGATCTTTCCATTTGTGCTCAACCGTAACTTGGTTTTCATAGATTCCACTGCAACGCTACAAGAAGTTAGTGTCCTACCCACACAAAAATCCAACACTTCAATTTTCAAAATTTAGCTATGATTTAAAAAACGATTTTGAAGTAGGATATTAGAATACAAAGAAAAATGTTATTAAATAAACATAACTTTCAAAATTAAAAATCCAAAACTCAGAAATATTATCAAATGACCCTTGTTTTTTTTTTTTTTTAATATAGTTTTGTACAATTAAAACATGGAAGATGACAGATGATGATGAGAATGCAAACATGCTCGTTTAAGGAAAAGGTTAGCAACGTGTCGACTAATTAAATATGTTTTAATAGTTATTAATAATTTAATATATTAATAATGTGATTCCTATAAAGCATAATACGATTTTTCTTACAAGAAGAAAATAAAAACAAAAATAATATATGTATTTTCTTATAGACCAAGCAATGAATTAGCTGCAATAATATGTGGTCAAATTTGACAACTTTATCAAGTTTGACAATGATTTATTTAACATTACAGTCAATCTTGATCATGATGTTAAATTTTTGTCCTTTTTTTCATTTTCATCTTTTTACTTATAAATTATCGTCATTCATCAAAGTTTTTATTAAATAAATGCTTCAAATGTAGTGTAATTTTGTTTACTATTTATATGTTATGTTATATAAAAGGAGTACTAAGAGTTCAATTATCCTTTGGATTAAAATATTAAACAGACTAATTGCTAAGAAATTTACCACCATATTTTATTGTTATGAAATGGGATTCAATACTATAGCTTTTAAAATTCACTAGTGTTTTTTAAATATATATATATATATATATATAGAAAGACGAAAAAGGAAATTGTATTTCGAACGTAGTAGGAAGAAATTAAAGATACTAGCTACTTTGTACCAAAAAAACCAATAAACATAATTCCTCCTGAACAATAAAATATGGAGGAGCGTATTTGTTAGTTATATCATCTAGAATCGCTTGAATAATTTCAAGTCGTTCTTAGAACCAATCATACACTTTATTGAGGTAGGTAAATAGAGGGGACCCTCTCTGAAAATCGTATATAGAATTTCGTCTCGTACGACTCAAACAAAAACACCTAAATAATGCTTATAAGAGATACGTGTACTAAAAAGTTTTAAACTTCTTAATGTTATGATTCCTTTTTTTTCCTTTTTTTTTTCTTTTAAGCGATTATAGAGGAGATTTCACATTTTAGAAAAATGATAAATAAAAAATAAATAGTTTATGTGGAAAATTAAATGTTAAAACATATCTAGACACAAATGTCAACGTTTTCTTTCTTAAATAATATTATTCATTACATCAACGGGTCGTCTTCTAGATAAAATATTTAAATAAAAGTTCCTACCCAATTAAAGGAAAGTTTTAAGACTGTTTTGGCTTGCAATTTTTTTCGTGTGCTACTGGCTCTTTTATTTATTTTGTTTTTTTCAGTATATTAAATGTGTGGGAGGGAGATTCAACTTCCAACCTTTAAGAAAAATGCAAAATATTCAACATTCACTACSAACTTTTATACTAATTTATAGAATTTGTTTTTTTTTATACAAAACCTAAAGATGGGTCAAAATTACATTCTTATATAGATTCATATGTCCAACTCTTTAATGTGACGCCCGATTAGGGAGGAGGAATACATGAATGAACCAATACCACATCCGAATGAGAGAGATTATGAGACTATGTAARCATGTTCAATAAAAGGTTAAAAGAATTGATAGTTACTGTTTATACTAACAAGGTGTACCTTCATTTTTGGTAACTCAATCGTAAGAACTGGTGGTGCAGCCAAATTGCAAGGGACGCAAGGGAATGCCGAGGCGACTAGGCCTAAATTCGGATTCTGAATCCTAGGCCTGACTTGGAGCAATCTTGGGTTGGGWAACTTCCTAGTTGCTTTACTAGGAAGCATGTGAGTGAAGATAAAGCATACTAAAAAGACACGTGTTGATCTGTAGGAATAGTCTGTAGCTCAGAACGGTGGTGGAGCTACATCGAGACTATTAAAAGTTAAATAATGTGAGAATAAGTTAGAGTTAGTTTAATAATTATTTTGAATTTTTTTTCCGGAAGAAATTTTGAAATTTTTTTTAAACCAGTTTTTTAGTTACAAATAATATTTTTATTTTGTAATTTATTTTTTAACAAATGTCTTTAAATTTGCATTAAATTTTCTCTGTTTGATAAAAAATATAGATTTGAACCTACAAAGAGAAGCAATGTCTTGATTGCCAGTTGGAGTGTGATCATATTAGTTGTTTTCGAATTTTTAGAAACCATGAAAAATAGTTATTTGAAGAAAGTAGTTTTTTCAATCTAATTATTATTTAAAAAGAAAAATTTAGAAAGCAGAGAATCGAAGTTACAGTCTCTTGGTTACTATGGAGGTATTGTTCTTTGACATTTAATTTAGAGTTTTAATTTATTTAAAGATATATATACAAATTAATTTTTTTCCCAAATATATAGAGGATTCATTTTGACGTCAAATGGGGTGAAAAGAAGTCAAATATAATACTTTTCAAAAAAGAAAAAATGAAGTCAAATATATTAGTGTTTAAACTTCTATGAGTGAGAGGTCAAAATGGCTGCTTTAGCTTGCTTTCCTTGGATAACAACCAACATTTCTAACATATATATTCTACGTATCCACTGTTACTAGGTTTAATTGGGGATGTTATAATTTTCTTTTTTCTTTCAGCTGTTTTAGATAACGAAGAAACTTGAAAATTCAAAAACCATTCCCCAATTTTAATTTCCAATGAGCCGCAGAAGCAGATTTTTAGACGAATTTATCTATAAATATCTCTATATTGTGGTTCTTCTTCTTCCATCTCAACTCAATAATAATTCTCTGCAAATTGCTTCTCTTTTTGCTCTTTTTCTTCTGGCTTCCTCTTCAATGGCTTCCGCTGCCATTCTCCAGCATTCTTTCACTGTAAAATTCTCCATCTTCATGCATATGCCTCATTATCATCATTCGTATGTTATATGGTTTTTGGAGAAAAATAAAATGCCTGTATAAAGTATAATTTTCTTTTTTTTTTTTTCTCTTTTCTTTTCTTCTTGAAAGTCGAACTTGTTCACCTTCTTTTGAAATTGTTTTCAAAATATTTTTTTACTCATAGAATAATATTATTGTTCTAATTTGTAGTTTTCTTTGAATGAATGAATCCTGCTAAAAAGTTGTCAAACTTGAACCTTATTTGAATTAGGTTCAAGTTCGGGCAACTTTTTATGATAAAACTTCAAATTCTTAAAATAATTTTGATAGGTATTTTAAAAAATATTGCAATTTTTCCTCTCTTTTTTTGTTAATATAGCATAAATTTGACTAATTTTAGTGTGTACCTTTTTTATTACATATTTGAGTTTGATGATTTGAATTATGTCCTTTTTGAAAATTTTATATTTCTGGCTATATTTGAAAATAGATATTTATGTTATCTTATTTATGTAAATGCTTCAATAAATTTTAGAAAATTGTCTGTGAAAATACATTTAGATAACTTTCTTTAAATAAATTTTCTTATTTTCCATATTTTCTTTGATTGTATTGACAAATGAACTTACGTAAAATGATTTTTAACTCTTCCAATAACATTAACTATTATTTCAATAACAAAAATTTAAACACAGTTTTGAAAACAAAACGTAAAACTATTTGTCCAAACAGCCTCTTGATATACATAAAAAATTCTATGATTTCTTTTGCATGCATATCAGAAGTGAATATTATCGAGATGAATATTTCAAAATATATATATATATATATTTTTCTTTTTTTAACTAATGCTTATTCTCTCTCTACTTGTATAGGTGCAAGACATGACCGTCCGCCGGCTCTGCCGTGACCAAGTTATAACGGCCGTCAACGGAAATTCCCGGGTCCAACCATTCACGCTCAAGACGGCGACGTTCTGGTCGTCCACGTCTTCAACAAGTCCCCTTACGATTTAACCATCCACTGGTAAATTATTCTAAATTAATTTAGTTTGTTTGATTAGAAATTCTGAATCTATTTTTTGTTTTCATCAAATTGATTGATCTCGTTGAACAAAATTTGGAAAATGCGTTTTTTTAAATTGTTTTCGAATTTTGTTATCCAAATTATCAAAATTGACACGATGTCAATTACCGCTGAACTATTGCTCGCTTTAACAAAATATAATCGTATTCTAAATTATGTAAAATTCACAAAATATATTAATTAATTAATTAATAAAGTTTAGATTAAACTATATTTAATGGTAACTATTTCTAGCTTATAAATATATTATTAGAACAATTTTTTAAATTAATACCAACCAAAACCACCTTTGATTATTCGTTGATGTCTGATCATTGCCATATTTTTTTCTTTTAACTATTCCGATGATCTGTAATTGGTCAGGCATGGGGTTTTCCAGCTGCTCAGCGCGTGGGCCGACGGGCCGGAGAACGTAACGCAATGTCCGATACGGTCCGGCGAAAACTACACGTACAGATTCAAGATCACCGGACAAGAGGGGACTCTGTGGTGGCACGCGCACTCGTCTTGGCTACGCGCCACCGTCCACGGCGCCCTCCTCATCGCCCCCAAGTCCGGCCGACCGTTGCCCTTCCCGAAACCTTACAGGCAGATTCCGATCTTGCTCGGAGAGTGGTGGAACGCCAACGTCGTTGAGGTTGAAGAGGGAGGTCTCGCTACCGGCGCCGGTCCGAATAACTCCGACGCCTACACCATTAATGCCCTCCCCGGAAATCTCTACCCTTGCTCGCAAAATCGTAAGTAAAATATTCCACCCATACAAATTTTAGGCGCATGCATAATTTCCACTATTCAAAAAAATTTATAAAATCTTATTTTTCCACTGTAGGTTTAGTTTCCTTGTAAATTGTAATCAAAACTTTAATTTTCAATTCGTCCTGCAAATCTTAAAGTTTTAATTTAGTAGTGATGTGACCTCAACAAAAATTAATAATAATAGTAGTGATGCTTCTTATTTTAAAAATTTTAATTTGTTGGTGGTGATTTAAATTTATTGATTATTTTCAAACTGTCTTTTATATCCTCAGAAACCTATCTTCCTTTTTCATAATTTCTAAAGTGTATCAATACTGCAACAAATAAGGTTTTTTCTAATGCATCGGCAAAACCCTTAGAAACTTCGGGAGTCACATTTAGTTGGACAAAATGCAGGAAAAGATACTCCCAACGTTTTTTTTAGAAAATATTGGAAAAATATCACTTTTCCTCGTCTTCTTTTTTAAAATAATTGAAAAAAAAATATTTATTTTCCAAACGGTTTGTGAAAATGTGATTTGACTTAGTTTTAAAAGAATTTGATTGCCATTTTTTTAATTTTTATTTGATCCATACAGAGTTTTAAACTTTCATTTTTATCTTAATAATTTGGTCAAACTCTTACTAATTAAATATACTCCAAATTGTCATCTACCCATCCAATAAAAAAAAATTGTCAAGATATTCATATGATATAGAACATAAATTATAAAGATCATAAAGTTGAAATTTTTAAAATTATTGAAACAAATTAAATTGAAATTAAGCTTAAATAATATTGAAACTTTTAGAAGTGGAGACGCTAAATTGAAAGACTAAATTGTCAAAATATATATATATATATATATATGTAATCCCATTAAACCAGTTTTTCGATTCCTATTTTTAGAAACCTATCAACTGAAGATGGTGCCCAAAAAGACATACTTGCTTCAAGTAATCAACGCTGCACTCAACAACCAACTGTTCTTCAAGTTGGCCAATCACAAAATGACAGTTGTCGCCGTCGACGCCATGTACACCGACCCTTACGTCACCGACGTCATCGTTCTCGCCCCCGGCCAGACCACCGACGTCCTCGTCAAAGCCGACCAGCCCATCGGCTCCTACTACATGGCCGCCAGCCCCTACTCCGATCTCCGCCCGCCGATCCCATTCCCAAACTCCATCACACGCGCCGTCGTCATCTACGACGGCGCCTCGCCGTCCGCCACTCCCCGGATGCCGGTCTTACCGGCGTTCAACGACACGCCGACGGCGCACAGATTCTTCACCAACATAACCGCCCTCGCGGGGGCCCGCCACTGGGTCCCAGTGCCCGCCACGTGGACGAGCACATGTTCGTCACGTTCGGTGTGAACCTGGCCCCGTGCGAAGAGCCGAACCGGCCTTGCGGCGGTCCGAACGGGCAGCGGCTCTCTGCGAGTATGAACAACGTGTCGTTCGTGATCCCAAACGACGCCGGATTGTCGATGTTGGAGGCGTTTTTCCACCGGGTGGAGGGCGTTTATACGGCGGATTTTCCCGATCGGCCGCCGGTTGAATTCGATTACACGAATCCGAATATTTCTGTGGAGAGTCCGTTGATCTTCGCGCCGAAGGCCACGAAGGTGAAGAAATTGAAGTTCAATTCGACGGTGGAGATGGTTCTGCAGAACACTGCATTTATTGCGATGGGGAATCACCCATTGCATCTCCATCGATTTAACTTCCATGTTCTGGCTCAGGGATTCGGAAATTACGACCCGATTAACGACCCGAAGAAGTTCAATTTCTATAACCCGCAGATCCGGAACACCGTCGCCGTCCCCGTCGGCGGTTGGGCTGTCATCCGGTTCCAAGCCAACAATCCAGGTCCTCATTCTTTTCTTTTTTAATTTTACTCCCTTAAATTTTTTCACATTCATTTTATTTTTTTTAGATAAGAGAATATTTATCCTATTTTGGTACCTAATTTGTGATTTTAACCTTTGAAGTTTAAAGATAATCATTAAGGTCTGTATCTTTATTTTAACTAGAATATTGTGCATGTTAATTACATAGTGGACTAAGTCTGGATATATTAAATGGTAAACGAATAACAATTACCAAAATAATTGTTTTTTTTTTAAGTTTGAGGATTAAAATTGATATCTTGAAAGTTAAAAGATGGAAATGGTTATTTTGTAAATTTAAAAAGAACACAATGTTTTTTAAAGTTAAAATTTTGAGTCTTTATAGTTGAACCGATTAAAACATATATCATTTTTATATAAAAAAAAAAAGTTGAAAGTTTGAATTATTTCTACTCTCATATTATACTAAAAACAAACTTCAAGTGATAAGTTTAATAATTTAGTCTCAACTTAAAAACAAAATTACTTTAATAAAATTTTAAAATGCTATGTAATTAGCATGATCTAATAAAGTTTTCGACTTTTAATTTTATGTTTAATGAATTGCTACCTTTGTGATAGAAATTTATTATTTATTAGACACAAAAAGGATAAGTTTAGAAATTTATTTGAAATTTTTTAAAATATAGTTTTGGAATAGATGGATTGTAGATATAACCTAATTTATGACTAAACTTCTTTTTTATTGATAATATTACCAGTCCGTGATTAGTATTTTTTTTAACGGTTTAGGATGTATTGAATTTAACAGGTGTATGGCTGATGCACTGCCACCTGGATGTCCACCTACCGTGGGGATTAGCCATGGGGTTTGAAGTCGAGAACGGACCAGCTCCGTCGTCAAGGCTGCCTCCGCCGCCGCACGATCTTCCCAAATGCTAGAGAAATTGTCGACAAAGTTCCTAAAATTTGAAGAAAAATTATTATTATATTTTATAGTTAATTTAAGTTTGAATATAAATTAACAAATACAATAATTGTTCTATGTTGTAGTCATTTTAAGATGTATCAAGTTACGTAATAATTCAGCCTACTTAAGTATAGGGTAAAGGATTAGTTTAAATTTTTTAATTCTCACTTGAGGTAAATTATTATGTAATAAGTGAGAATCAATTTTAATGGTAGTACAATTAAGTTTAATAAATTTATATTTGTGTAGATTTATAATTATGCGAAGAAAATCAGGTTAAATTTTGATATTCATATTAGGAAAAAAATTAAAAATAAGGGACCTACAATGTTTAAATATTGATATCATATCAAAACCAATTCAAATGGGATTCCGATTCAAAAATTGACCTAACAAGAATTTTTATAGTAATTACAATAAGAGAAGTGGATCAAGTTGAATAAATAAGATAAACAAGTATTGAATGTTCTATCACAATATGGTTATCTCTGGATGCAAGTTCAAAATTTTGATATATGTTTCTAATAATAGTCTAAGCTACATCTTTATAATTTACTTTCATATATTTCATGGGTTAAAACTGCCAACCAAATCGTTTTCAACCTCCAATAACTTTCTAAAGGGACAAAGAGAATTAATTACAAGGTATTGGAAAAGTAAAAAAGGCAAATGGTATACAAATTTGAATTATTATTGCGATTTAACTTTTACCACTTCATAAAACAAAAATAGAGTAAGCTAACCAAAACAGAGTAACCTCCTTATTATAGCTAAAGAATGAAAAAGTCCATGAATAAATCCTAATGTAATATACATAAAATGACTTGAGTGATCAATAATGGATTAGTTTCAACCACATTGTGAACAAAACAAAAATATAATTTTCTATCGTTTTCGTTTATCACACGTAAAAAGTCTTACTTAAATATTCTTTCGAAGAAGACGATTTCAAGAGTTGAAATTTAACTTTAATAATTTTTTAGGGAAGAATAATCATTAATGTGAGAAAACTCTATACATTTCGATCCATGTGTGACCAATTAAATTTGGTTAAAATTGCATTAACGAGTACGATGGGTGGAAGATTGCAAAAGACCTTAACCATTATGAAATTTTCTTCTTTGATTTTTTCCTCTCCAATCTCCCATTGGAATTTGTTTTCAACTTATATTTTTATTAGACAATAGCTATATAATTAAGTTGAGTATAATTTATATAAAATATTATAAAAGAAATAACCATTACATGTGACCCAATGATATACCATGGCTAATATAGCTAATCAATATATAGGTTAATCACAAATTACCATTATTCAAGAAAATCAACAATTTACCAATTCAAAAACTGGCTATATTTACCCTTAAGTTTTGGAAATTATTGGGCTTTCAAATGGGCCCAATAAAGCCCATATTAGAATCAATCCAGCTAAATGGATCAATCTCATATTGGACTCCCAATAAAGCATGATCACAAAAAAGAGCGCGAGATAAAGTGGGACCCAATATCGCCTCGACGGTTGCGAACCTCACAAATTCCCTCAATTGAAACTGTGAAACAAAATCAATCAAATTCAGAACCCAAGCGCCAGAGGAGAGAACTGAACAGAGGCGAAAGCAGAAGAAGAAGAAGAGGAAGAGGAAGAAGAAGAAGAAGAAGAAGAAGAAGAAGAAGAAGAAGAAGAAGAATCAATGGCTTCCGCCACAGCGACGACATCGCCGCGCCATCTCTCATCACCAGTAGTCTGTCGCTCTCTCTCTCGTCTCTCTCCATTCCACCTCTCCGTTTCATCTGGCTCTAAGCCCGCCGTTCATCCTCCATGCCGTAGCAAGAGAAGGCACGGCGGCGCTGCAATCCGGTGCGCGGCGGTAGGGGCGGCGAAAGAGGCGGAGACGAAGAAGAAAAGCACGTTTCAGATTGAGACGCTGACGAATTGGCTGCTGAAGCAGGAGCAGGCCGGAGTGATCGACGCGGAATTGACGATTGTGCTTTCGAGCATTTCGATGGCGTGCAAGCAAATCGCGTCGCTGGTGCAGAGGGCTAGCATTTCGAACTTGACCGGAGTTCAGGGCGCCGTCAATGTTCAAGGAGAGGACCAGAAGAAGCTCGACGTCGTCTCCAATGAGGTTCGTAATCGTAGATTCGTAGTTCGTACTCTGTTCTGAAACTACCAGAGATAAAGTTTATAGAACAATAATCTACGGATATTGTCTATATAACAACAATATGACATCTATATCATTTCTCATTAATAATCTTATGATTTTCTTAATAAATATCTGAGTAAGTTTAGAAGAATTAGGATTTACATTTTGGGTTAAAAAAACATGTAATATGTAGTATTTTTTAGTGGTGAAATTATGAAGGTAAGAGATCAAGTTAGCGTCAATAGTCTCAACAGGTTGCAAAACTTTCACTCCTGCACAAAAACTAAAAAAACAAAAAATAATCCTATAAATATTCATCTTAATCGTTAAAATAATGATTTGAAAAATCACAACGGACTCGAGTAGCTTAGTGGTGGAAGAATCATATAAATACTCTTGGTTTATTGATTTTCGTTTGCTTTTAACAAATAAATAATTAGACTTCCAAGATGTATAACAACACTAAATGCGTACAATATTGGTTGAGATGCGAATATTAACTCAGTGATTAAGGTATCGTCCTGCTTTGTTGTATGTTTAATAAACCATATTTAAAAATGTGTAGAAACAAAATGAAATTTGAAATTTGTTGGGATAAATTCAATCTCCCATCCAGAGTTATGCTCTAACAAGCCAAGTACACTGCCAAAGGTGTTCTCCAATTGCTTGAGATCAAGCGGGCGAACAGGGATTATAGCATCGGAGGAAGAAGACGTGCCAGTAGCCGTAGAAGAGAGCTACTCCGGCAACTACATCGTCGTATTCGACCCACTCGACGGCTCCTCCAACATCGACGCTGCCGTCTCCACCGGTTCCATCTTCGGCATCTACAGCCCAAACGACGAGTGCTTCGCTGACATCAGCGACGATTCCACTGTATGTTTCTTAATCCCCACACTCTTCTTTCCATAAACATTTCCCCCCGACTTCCCTGCAAAGCTTGGGCCACCCCGTCATGCCCTCTAACTGTTCGATAAAATGCCAAGGAACAGCTGAGCTCGACAGAACTGAGGTGCGTGGTGAATGTGTGCCAGCCAGGAAGCAACCTCCTCGCCGCCGGCTATTGTATGTACTCAAGCTCCATAATCTTCGTGCTCACGCTCGGAAATGGCGTATTTGCGTTTACTTTAGACCCAATGTACGGGGAATTTGTGCTGACGCAAGAGGACATCAAAATTCCCAAGGCTGGGAAGATTTATGCCTTCAATGAAGGGAATTATCAGCTGTGGGATGATAAATTGAAGAAGTACATTGATGATTTGAAGGATCCTGGCCCCAGTGGGAAGCCATACTCTGCTAGATATATTGGTAGTTTGGTGGGTGACTTCCACAGAACCTTGCTTTATGGTGGCATTTATGGGTACCCCAGAGACAAGAAGAGCAAGAATGGGAAGCTGAGACTTTTGTACGAGTGTGCACCCATGAGTTTCATTGTGGAACAAGCTGGAGGCAAAGGCTCTGATGGCCATCAGAGAATTCTTGACATCCAACCAACAGAGGTTAGTTTTTCTAATCCATATAGCTTTAAGAACAAATATACTATGATCCATCCCCTTGAAATTCTGAATCTAGTGATTATTTAACATGAAAATTCTGAGTTCGAATGTTTTTGGGTCTAGTAGTGATTTCAATAAGGCTAAGTTTGACTGAAGTTTTATTTTTTTTTTTCTGATTTTGTGTTGTGGAATAGATCCATCAACGTGTGCCTCTGTATATTGGGAGCGTGGAAGAAGTGGAGAAAGTGGAGAAGTATTTAGCTTGATTTTGGTTGATTTGAGATGAAGAATAAGGTATATATTATTTGTATTCTTGTATAAAGTTCATTTCAATGCTGAATAAAATTTGAGGCATTGTGCAATTCATATTTTCTTCCACCTGAAAAAGCTAATCCATACCCAATTAATAACTTTAGCTCGTGCTTGTGCCATGCAGATATAAAGGGATTGAGACGTAGGACTAAACACCTTCAAAGCAACATAATAAATCAACCTCCTCGATTGATTTTCATAAATTATGATCGCACCAAATATACTTGGAAAAATTTGTTTCTAACCAAGCCAATTGGTTCATTCCTCCATGTGATCCTTACTTTTTATGAGATAACTTCCATTACTATGAGCTGTACTTACAACTTAACTATATCAAAATGAGTAAATTTAATTTTAAAATGTTGAGAACCTTAAATTCAAAAGAAATATTCTAGTTTTACTAGCTTTGAACCATTTGCATTACTTTCAAAACATTTAAAATGTAATTATCATAAATAATTAGACATTCTAGAGATTTTGAAGGTTAAACATATTATAGTTTAGTCTAAGCCCAAGGGAGATACCTTTCTTGGCTTTTTGGTTAAGATTAAGTGTAGTTTAGTCCAAGGAAGTGAAAAAGAAAACCATTATTATATATATAAATAATATTTTCATTTCTTCAATGCATAAATGAGATCACTCAACATGAGCAAACTCAAATCAAAATAAGAATTAAAACCTAGCAAGTAGCAACCTAAAGATTTATGATTAAAAAAAACCATTTCTAAAATCAAACTTTAAAAAAATAAAATATGCCATACCTTACTAATTAATTCCTCTAGTTCGACTCCAAATGTTGAAAGATTCTTTCATGTGTCGAATTTGAATGATGAATCAGACGATGGTCGTTACCGGTTACTGAGATAAACTGTTCACTTTGGCGAATCAGAATCACACAATTGTTTCACAAAGAGATAAGCCACAGCAAAACCCCAACAAACAGACACAGAGAAGACAGAGAGAAGAGAGAGAGAGAGAATGGTTCGCGCGATTTCTTCTCCTCCACAACGCACTCTCTTCTCCAGCTCCGGCGCTTTCCCCTCTTCCAATTTCTGCACTCGCCGCCCATACAGCTTCTCCGGCATCCCGCCGGCCAAGTCCCCGACCAGAGCCGTGAGCTTGGGGACGACCCAGCCGGATACCCGACCCAAGAACCCGACCCGACGCGGATTCGACGTCGAAAACCTAACCACATGGCTGCTGAAGCAAGAACAATCGGGCCAAATCGACGCGGAACTCACCATCGTCCTCTCCAGCATTTCCTTAGCCTGCAAGCAGATCGCCTCGCTGCTGCAGAGATCCAGCATTATCAACCTCACCGGCGGCCACGGCACCATCAACGTCCAGGGCGAGGACCAGAAGAAACTCGACGTCATCTCCAACGAGGTGGTTTGGTTAATTAAATCCTTTTGCTGTTTGGAAACAGGGGAAATCGGGGGAGAAAAAAGCCCTAAATCTATAATATGGGGAAATTTTTCAGCTGTTCTGCAACTGCCTGAGATCGAGCGGGCGCACGGGGATCATAGCCTCGGAGGAAGAAGACGTACCAGTTGCTGTGGAAGAAACCTACTCTGGAAACTACGTGGTGGTGTTTGATCCCATTGATGGCTCTGCCAATATCGACACTGCCTTGACCACTGGTTCCATCTTTGGGATTTATGCGCCTGATAAGCAATGCCTCTTCGACATTGAAGATGATTCTCCGGTAATTTCATCTTCATCTTCTTCCTCATATTAATTGTCTCTCGAGAGAGTCTGCCATTGTTAATAAGGCTCTCTGCAACTCTGCTTTTATCCGCCATTTTGAGAAATTTAGGTTTGGATTAACTTCTTAAATGGCTTTGGAGGCCAATTGTTTTTTTCTTTTAAATAAAAATTAATTTCAAATTAATCGAATATTCTTAAAGTTCATCATTCAAAAAGTGATTCACTGATAATCACTTTAAAATCTAATTTAGCATTTGTAGGGTACATTCACTTTTAGATATACCCAGCCTAAGAAACTAGTGACTAAAATTACTTGAAAATGTAATTAACATAAACAAGTATTTCAATAGAGCTATTTTTATATATAAAAAAAGAGAAAAAACAGTGTTTTAACAAAAAAAAAAAAAAGTATGTTTAAAGAGCGTTTAAATTAAAAAGTCATCATAACTCACCTTGTATTTTAAAAAATCTTTAAATGGGTCTATAAACCTTCAAGATTGTTTGTTTGTTTTGTATATAAAATTTTTAATTTGTCTATAACTCTGACTATAATTTTTTATTAATCTATCTATTTGGTGGCATAAGTGTTATGCTTCTGAATTCGATGATATTTTAAACAAAATTAAAAGTAAAACTTCATAACCTATCAAAAAAAAAAAATATATATATATATATTTATAGGGACTAAATACATACCATTTTCAAAATCTTTTGCACCAATTTTTTTAATTTAACTAAAGGTGGCCCTTATAACTTTCAAGTTTAGGTAGCACACATTCAGTTAACTAAAACAAGCATCATTTCTTAATTTTTAAGTTATACAAACATAAGCCTTATTTCTTAATCTTTAAGCTCTCCTTTCTTGCTTTTATTTTCAGCATGGATATAGAAAACGTTTTGACTGGCCCGATTTTCGCAATTTTATTACTTCTGATTTGTAATGTACTTTTGTTTGAATAATACTTACTAATATATTAGTAGGTATCTTCTTACCGACTATCATTGAAAGTTGAGTTTTGAAAGAAGAAAAAATCTCTCTTTTCTCTCCTTTCTAAGCGGTGAATAGATAACAACAATTTTAGTAGGTTGGATTGATAATAGCCATATATTAATGTCTTTGCATTGGTACAGCTTAATCAAGAAGAACAAAAATGCATCATGAATGTATGTCAACCTGGAAACAACCTATTAGCAGCTGGTTACTGCCTCTATTCAAGCTCAGTTGTCTTCACAATCTCCATTGGAAAAGGAGTTTTTGCCTTCACTTTGGACCCTTCCTATGGTGAATTTGTCTTAACTCATAACAACATCAAGATACCAACCTTGGGAAAGATCTACTCTTTCAATGAAGGCAACTATGATCTTTGGGACGACAAGCTGAAGAACTACATCGATCATCTCCGACAACCGACGTCCTCTGGCAAGTCCTACTCCGGCCGCTACATCGGCTGCCTGGTCGGCGAAATCCATAGAATGTTGCTTGTTGGAGGTATCTATGGAAACCCTGCAAATGCGAACAACAAAAATGGCAACCTTAGGTTGTTGTACGAGTGCGCGCCGATGAGCTATCTGATCGAACAGGCGGGAGGGAAGGCGATAGATGGTCATCGGAGAATACTTGACATCGAACCCGCGAAGGTAATGCTGATGATATGAATGATGTTAATGTCATTGGTTTGTTTCATAGTAACAAAATTGTGGATGCTATGGGATGTAAATGTAAATTTTGATCTAATGTTGTGTTATTGGACAGATTCACCAACGCACACCAATATTCATTGGGAGCTCAGAGGAAGTGGAGAAATTGCAAAAGTTTTTGGCTTGATTTGAAACAGAGAATGAGGTTGGAGGAGAAATCATTTTCTTTCTCAATGTTCTTTCTTCAATATATATCTGTCTCTAATTTTCTCATTGTAGGTAATCCAAGATTATGGCATCAGAAAGTTGAATTTTCTCCAATTATTCCAATATTTTTGGACACCAATGCAGTGATGGAAATTGTTGGAGATAATCTGTTTACCATATATATTTAAAAATTTGTTATAATTCTTTTTTAGAGAAAATTGCAATCTTGATTTTTAAGGATGTTTCATGGGTTTTTTGTCACTTGTAAAAAGTAAAAATGGACTTCTTAATCACAAGAATGCAATACAGGAGAATCCAAACTCTTGAAACACAACATATTTTAAAAGGTATATATGATAATCAAATACAAAATCAATTAAATGRAAAAAAAATATATATTTTTTGAGAAATAATCTTTAACTAATTCGAAAAATTACCGACTTGAATATAGCTCAACTGGCTTAAGTACTTAAAACCCAAGTATCCCCATCTAATCCTTAAAATTGTAAATCTCACGTCTTTTTTATCTTTCAATACTTTCCTTTTATCTCTACTTTCTTTCTACATATAACTTAAATTAATTTACCACCCTAAGTGTTAGTAAACTAAATCAACCCTAATATACTACATTTTCTACTCCAATTCCAAAATAGTTTTATAGTTTTAGTAAACGCAATATTAAAATTTTCATTTTGATTCCCCATTTTTTTCATTTCAATTGATTTCTTATTTGGGCCTGGAGTGGTTCTCTTTCATATGGGCTCCAACTGTAAAGCCGGGCCCAATAAGATGTACCCCGATTCTCCATCCGCCATTAGCCCGCGGCCCCGCAATGCCGACAGATCGGCTCGCAACCAAATTATCTTCTTCTCCACCAAACGACAATGGGAGTTGCAATAACGACCACTCATCGGCGTTTTCGTCACCGGTGACTCCGGAGCCGAGCCAGTAGTCGGAAAACCGATTTCTGCAAAGAACATGGCCTTTGGGCTTCTGCCGTGGAGTTCAATTTCTCTCCGCTCTTCCTCTTTCCCTGCCCTTTCCTTCTCTCTCTCCTCTTCCAAATGCACCCAATTATCCATCTCCGCCGCCCTCGAAACCGCCGCCGCCGACGATGTCCAGCAGCTGTCGGCCCGGGAGAGGAGGAGGCTGAGGAATGAGAGAAGAGAGATTAAAACCACTACCAATTGGAGAGAAGAAGTGGAAGAGAGGCTCTGTAAGAAGCCGAAGAAGGAATTTGCCTCTTGGACTGAGAAGCTCAACCTCGATTACCTCGCTAAATTGGGCCCTCAATGGTGGGTTATGAGGGTCGCTCGCGTTAGAGGTCAGGAAATTGTCGAACGCCTCGCCCGTTCTCTTGCTAGGAACTACCCCGACCTCGATTTCAAGGTGAAATTTCTGCATTCGACTGTTTGATTTCTAGGTTTTTAGTTTCTGGGGCTGGTGTGTTGCGTTAATTTTCCATGAATTTTCTTGAAATTCATTAACAGAACTCGAAATATAAATCTACTGAGTTCCATTGTTCTGAAACTTAATGGAATGAGTGAATACTATTTCACTAGCTTGAGTTCATCAGTGCTGAAATTGGTAAATTTCTCTACAATGTAGTATTTAGATTAAGAGAAGGAAGGATTTAAGTAAAAGAGTCAAAAGAAAAAATAATAGGTTATGAAGATCTTGAAATATTCCTTTTGTTAAACTTTACATTAAATTCCAGAAACGAAGGTATCAACCTGATAAAGAATAAATCAACGGGAATCATTTTTCTAGCTGGGATGAATTGTTTGAGATGAGACCATGTGTATCAATAGCTCAATTTCTTAAAGTTGGATTGCAGATATATTACCCATCAGTCCAGGAGAAGAGGCGACTAAAGAACGGTACTTACATGGTTAAACCAAGAGCTGTTTTTCCTGGATCTGTATTTATAAGGTGTATCATGAACAAGGAGATACATGACTTCATTCGAGAGTGTGATGGAGTTGGAGGCTTTGTTGGCGCGAAGGTCGGGAATACGTGAGTCGTTTATGTTGTTTTATTCTATGTTAAAGCAGCTAAGCAACTATTTCTTCTTTAGGTTAGGAGATAATTCTACTCAGAAATTGTAAAGAAACTGCAGAAAGGGAATGAGGGAACTGCATTGGCCATTTGGGGTTATGATATTTATATGCCTTAATAGTCTAAAACTGAAGGATTTTGGTGTCTAGGTCTATGGCACAAAACTAAGTCTAAAAATCTGAATTATAAAATTTTTTGGAATAATTTTGGATTGAAGTTTCAGGTTCCGAATTTTTAAAAATGTCATCTTTTCCTATTTTGAATATGTCTTATCGTTCTCAGTTAGTCTGTTATTCTGATAGTTTGCGCAATACACAGGAAACGACAGATAAACAAACCAAAGCCAGTATCTGAAGCTGATATGGAAGCAATCTTCAAAGAGGCAAAGGAAGAGCAAGAAAGACATGACCAGGATTTTCTTGAGAAAGAGCAAGAGAAAGCTCCAAACTCTACCATACACAAGACTGACTTAGATACAAATGGTACTACTGCTACAAAGCCCAAAGGAAGATTGAAAAAAGCCGTTAATGCTTTGTCTCCTGGGTCAACTGTTCGGGTGGCATCCGGGACTTTCGCAGAATTTGAAGGCTCTCTTAAGAAGCTGAACCGTAAAAGTGGAAAGGTATGCTGTTTTCTTCTAGACTATAATTGTTTTTGTGCTCAGGACCCGTTAAGAAGCATTTGAGAGCTTTTTTATTATTTTTTTTTTAACCATAATTGATCGTTTTAGAGATTGCTACATAGAAGAGAGCAAATGAATTTTAATTTGATTTCCTTCATGCAGGTAACGGTGGGATTCACACTATTTGGGAAGGAAACCCTTGTAGACCTTGACATTGGTGATATTGTAGTTGAGACAACAAATTGAGGCGAATCTACTTTCTCATTGATGGTAAGTTTTCGAAATTGCAACGAGATAGAAACTATTTATCTTGCTAACCCATCTTGTATCTGAGGTTTCTTTCTTCAACTTCGATGGAAAGTTCAGTGCCTTGGTAATCAGAAAAAAGCCACACCATGTTCTATTAAGTACAGGGGAAGAATAGAGAAGCCACCTAACCATTGACCTTAGTCAATTCATTATTATCATAAGAACTTGCAAAGATCTTGTTTGGTCCTTCAGATCTTTCAACTCACTCTTTGTACAATCTTGATTTGTCACTTCAATATCCTTAGTAATATTGAAAGTTAGAATAGGCTGTAATTACAAAGTTCTCAAAATTGCAATAGATACAGATTTAGCAACCATGTCTGCAAGTTTTCAGGAGATGTTTGTACCTGAAGTGAAATATATCATGATTAATTTTTCCGTCTCAAGCCAAATGTGGATTGTGGTGGAAATGTTTTGGTATCTCTCGAGACCAGTTCGGTTAAGGAGAGCCTCTACTCGATACTTAGAGTTATTTTCTCGAACAAAAAGCTAACGTCCTTTAACTTATCGCTTCCGAAGTGATCATGTACGAGTTGTTGTTCGAAAGAAATAGAAGACTATTCCAAGAGGAGTACAAAGAACCTTTCTAGATTTGGGATATTATTTCATTTGTTGCTTCTCTTCGAGGTTCTAAAATACCTCCGAGATGACTCGCCTCCCTACATTATTACTAATCGGAGCATCTTTTTGTAAGCTTCTTGCAGGTTCATAATTGATCACTCTTCATTCTTGTCTGTGATTGGTTTGCAGTAATGGGGAAGAAGAAACTCATGAAGTTGGAGGATAAGTAAAGAGCTCTCAACTCACAGGCACATCCATGAACAACCAATGTATGGAAGAGAGCTATGCTGCTTGAATTTCCAAACAGCTCTCACTTTGATGAACATCAATGGAAATCAGATCAACTGTGCTGCCTGAAATTACTCTGCAATTGGAAATCAACAGCTCGAAGGAGTTGGCAGAAGCCCGAATGTATTGTTCTTTGACTTTTGAGAAAGCAAAATAGGGAATATTTTGATCCTTAGAACTTTCTTAATAAAAAATTTTCAAAAAAGAGGCTGATTTGGAATGTTACAGTCCTATACACTAAACGTTGTAACTATTCTAAAATCAGCTCGAACACCCAACAAGGGTGGTTCACTCGTGGTGGGAGAGAGGAAAGATTCCTTTTTTTAGGGTACGCCAGGAACAAATTCAATAAAGAGGTGGAGTCTGTATCTCACGGTGTCGAGAGTTCGAATTCCTCTTCATCCACAACTGGCCAAAAAAAGAATGACTTTTTCTCTAGGAAAGTCATGATCGAGATAGCATACTTAAAGCTATGAAACTTGGGCGTGACCGTAAATTTCACAACGTCCACTAATTTTTGAGTCTATTCATTTTGGACTTATAGTGAACTTCTCCCAAACTTCAATCCTAGACTTGGACCAACCCACTTCCATGGCCCCAACATTTATTTCTAACCTCAAGATCATAAAAAGATGTTGATAAAGAGTGTGTGGGAAAATGGTCAGATATGAACTGAACTGAGCTGAGCTGCTGGTGGTTGTAAGTGGTGGTGCCACCCAATGGATTACAACTCACATGGGCTGCGCCTGCGGTCCCTTTTGCCTCAAAACCTTAATTTAATGCAACATGTGAGTGTTTCTGTTAAGTCACTACCTCTTCTTCGCCCCCACATATCCCTCCTTCACCCTTCTTCAATCCAACTTTTTTATATTATATGCTCTCTTTCACCTTTTTCCTTTTTCTTTTCAATTTCCACTTTTTGTCTTTCTCGGACGTTTACGTTCAGTCTCGGGTTATGAAAGAAGGAATTGAGTGGAAAGTATTAGCAACGACGGATTTTATTACAAGACAACTCATCATGTTCTTGATCTATTATGCACTTCTTGTCTCGCATTGAATAGTAACTTTTGTTTCATTGCTTCGCGACTATAAAACAATAAAAGAAGAGGGGATGTTCACTTTTGTCAACTTAGCTATTTTAATACTACTCAATACTAAAACAAAGGCTTTTGGAGCTCCTAGGCCTGGATGTCTAGCAGAACACTTGGCTCCCTGCGCCAAAAGCGAGACCCGAAGGGTTGGCTTCTAGAAATAGATAAAATAGGCATTAGGCATTCTGAGCTGGAATAAGGCAAGCAAACATCAAAAGATGTCATTCATTTGATGAAAAATAAAAAGGATTATCGAAACTTCGAGAAGTTGAAGCTGAAGTAGCTACTTTCAAAGTAACGAGAGTTAGGCAACGACTAGAATAGGAGAGTTAGAGTAGAAAAGAGGATTCCTCACTTCTTTCTTTCAAAACCATGCATGAGACTTTCATCTCGCACGATTAGAATCAATAGGTTTTCAAATCGTTCATCAAGGACAATCTCAAACACTTTTTTTTAATAGTCTAATATTACTTGTAGAAATTCGTACTTTTATTCTTTCTTCAACATATATCATCAACATAAAAGGAAAGAGGAGGAGACAATCGCCCCTCTCTTGTTTGTTTTCAATTAAAAAATATAGATAAGAAAATTAATATTTAAACGTTTTCATCCTAATGTAAATTTCTGGCTTCGCCCTTATTTAACGTGCTTATTATAGATGATAGAGTTATTCAAGTTCCTATAGTTAATCATGTATATTGTATACCATAATCTTTTATCTATTAAAAATGTCTAAAAGTGTTTCAAGTACTAGTGAAACTTCATAATCCTTCAGCATTTTTCATCATTAGCCTTAATATTTGATGTGAAATTTTAAAAGATTTGATTAATTGATATACTATAATCATATAAAAAGGAAAGTGTTAAATCTTTGAATAATACGACTAATAAAATTTGAAAAGAAATGCTGATTAGATGTCGCAATGCCATTGGTCAAATTTTAGAAATCATCTATTTAAATTCAAATTTAAATGGTTTATATTCCATCACAAAATTTGATGTTCCGGTTTAGCTCATATAGGAATTGCAAATATTATCATAAAGTCTAATAACTAAATAAATTTATATTTATATTAAATTATAAGTTTGATCTTCCAACTTGTTTCTAAGTATCTAATAGATTCTTATCATTAATTTTACCTCACTTCTTTATCCGCCCATCAAACACTTGAGCTAGTCCAAAGATCGAAATTCCAAAGCTTTAAATAATTTTATCAACATACTACGTAAATTTTAAATTGATGGTTAACGACAAACACTTATTAAACATAAAATTAGAAGTCTTTCATAAATATTTTAAAGTATAGATACAATTTTGAAAGTTTAATGATTTTTTAGAAGCTTCTTAAACTAAAAAAAAAAATTAAATAAATACAACCTGAAATTGCAAAGGACCAAACTTGTAATTTAACCTCTACTTTATTATACAATTCAAAATATATTTAAAAAGAGTGAAAAGTGAGATTGAAGAAATGGTAGGTAAACCAACTTAATTAAATTTTTAGAAAATAAAAAGTTAAGAACAAAAACTTTGTCAAATTGGAGTTAATTGTTAGTTTGATATTTAATTTAATACACATAAATTTATTATAATGTTATTTGTAATATTATTCTAGAAAGAAATGCTCTCTTGCAAGCTCCAACTAGATTGGGACCATAATCTTTTAAAAAGATTCGCTCTTTTGGAAAGGATGTCCAGAGATATTCTACTTTTTGTTGGTTGTAAATTTGAAGGTGAAACTAGACAATGGATGCAAAATTTGTCTTTGATTTCAAGGTAAGATGTATGTAAACTAAAAAATAATATACATTTAAACAACAAATTGAGTGTTATAATTTGGATTTAGTTTAATCTCGTAATTTTAAAAGTTTTAATTTGATTTCTGTTGGTGGTCAAAATCAGACTCGACACGTGTAAGCACAAACTTCGTTCGTACTAGTTTCATTTCAGATTGGACCCAGTACCTGACGACATGATTCATAACGAGTTGAGATGAAATGGAATACAGCTACCGATATGAGGAATTCGACCTCAGGATCGAGCACCGATTTGGGGACCCGACAATCGTAACCGCTGGTCGTAACAGTCAAACGACTTTGTCTCCCTCACCTACCTATAAAAGGGACACTCCACCCCATCATTCAGGTGCATTATTTCCTCTGAGAACAACCTGAACAGCTTGAGCTTGCAACTGACTTGGGCGTCAGAATGTTTGTTCCCTGTGTAGGTTYACTTGTGAGCACTTCGACAGCTCGTGATCGACCTGTGAACTCGGTTGTAAAGCAGTATCAATAATTTCAATATTTTGAACTCAATCTCAATTTTAATTCTTATGATTTTATAATTTTTAATTTATTCTTTATAATTTAATTAAACCTGGCTAATGGTCTCTCGGGGAAAAGCTAGCTAATGTTGGTTGATTTTTAAGTTATTCATAACAATAACTATATGTCGGTTAATGTAGGATTTTAACCCTTCTTCGAAAGAAGATTGAGATTTTTTTAGGAAAAAAATATTTAATATAGATTTATGAAAGGGAATAATAGAGATGTTAAACAAAATAGGGAGAAATTTATTTAAAAAGAAAAAAAAAGGAGAAATTAAGGACATAAGAATTTGATTAGGTGTAGGGTTGTTTTTTTAAAAAAAAAAAATTCCTTCTTTGTATAGTGTTAAGATATCTCGAAAATTTGTCTCTAAAAATAAGACGAATTACTAATAAGTAAATGCAAAACTTCAACCACAATCCTCAACAAACACTAGAGCAATTGTCCAGAGAAGGAGAAATTTGAGAGAATTTCTTTTTATACAAAAAAAATAATAATAAAGACTGTTTATGTTTACAAACTATTTAAGGTCATTCAAATAGTCGCATCTTTTATAATATCTTTTAATAAAAATACACATCCTTCATATAAATTTCTGTGATTTAAAAAAATGCATCCTCTCATGGAAAAGTCGTAGTTGTTTACCAATTTCATTAATAAATTCCAACCAAAGATGACAAAAAAAGTAAAGAAAATCAGGTGGGGGAGGAAGGAGCCATAAAGAAGAGAGAATTAGGGTTTTTTTTTTCTCTCTTTTTCTTTGTAAAATACCCAATACAAAAAAGAAAAAAATAAATAAAATCCCACAGAAAGCACAAAAAGGAAAAATGGTATTTTTCATATCACAAAAAAGGAAAATGGAAAAGGGTGAAATTTTGTTAAAGCCAAAATTTGAAGGAAGCTGTTTGAGTTATATTGTCGAACAAAGCGTTTGTTTGTTAATTTGAGAGCGCCAAGACGACAACAAAAGCACAGCCACAATCACAACCACAACCACGCGCACTGTTAAAATTTCTCATGTGAAAAGACCTCACATGCCCTCGACTCCCACAGCGCTTTTCCCTTTTATTGGTCCCCCGACCGACACGTCGTCCAATAATCCTTCCCACCAATCCACTCTCTTTTTGTTTCTAATTTTATTTATATTCTTCCCCAAATAAATCACCATAAAAATCAACTTCTAGTTAAGTACTTAGGCAGGATCACCTTACAAGTGCTTCTCACGAGATATTTTAAGTTTCTTCTTACTTTTTAAAAAAGTACTCTATGTTACTTCTAACACAATATTTTTTTAGTGGAAAGTATTGTAGTTATATTAAAAATAATCTTAAATATAACGTTAGAACATTGTGGCATCACATGTGGTAGCATACTACCTTTACATCATAACAATTGTCAATACTCAAGCTCGTGTCACAATTCTTGCCTCCATTGTGCACGGTCATATTTGAGAATTTTGAATGTGAAAAATTATCTCCTCTCAATTTTTAGAAGTTTATTCAAGAATTTTAAAGATTTTACATTTAATTAGAATTAATTTTAGAATCTCAAATTCAATAACTTCTAAGGTGAATTTATCTCTCCCTTATATAATACYGTTGTTTAGATCTTGTTTGACGAAGCACAAATAATTTCAATTCATCAAAGTTGTAGAGTGATATTCTTGAATAATCGTAGAACATTGTATCACAAAAAATCAATGTGAAATAAAATGCACAAATAAGAAATAAAATGCAATACTAAACATTCTATTTCAATGATTAAATATACAAAATACATCTTGAATAAAGATTTGCTACATTAAAAATCACATCATTTAGATTTTTTATTTGAAATGGAGTAGAAAAAGGAACCGTACTCGCTCTTTGACTTGAACATGTGTCCATTTGGTACTCCCCATTAAAAAACAAACAAGGAGCGCGTGATTTTACGACAGTGTACTTCGCCTGTCTTTTTCTTGTTTCTGAAGAACGGTTAATAATGTTTCCATAATTTGCTAAAATCCGCTTCCTTTTTGCTTTATTTTCAAATTCACCCATCATTTTTGCTTCTCTTCAAATTATTTCCACAGTTTCTTAATATTAATTATTTGCCCCGACATTAATCATATTTTGTCCTTTTTTTATTGACTTTAATTTCTGGTACAAAAACCAGTATTGACAGTCCTCCCATTTCTTTCTCTTGAATTATAATCTTCTCTAATTCTTCACTAATTTGTTGGAGGAAGTTTCAACTTCTAACCTTGCATAATATTATTTTTTTTTTGTCTTGATCATTGTATTTAGATTAATTTCTTGAATTAGAATGTGGTTCGAAAATAAAAATTATTCGATATTGTACATTAATACAAGTTAAATTTAGCTCTATCAAGTTCATCATTTTACCCGACTAAAATACAAATTGAGTATCAAACACTCATGCTCTTTAATATATTCTTTAATATATGCGAACTAAATGTCTATTTTGTTAATAATATATTAAAAATGAGTTCGTCTACCCTAAACCTAACCATTTACATTTTACAATCTAATGGTATTCATTGAATTTGTAAAKGATCGCAAACAAAGTCTCACGTTAATAGAGAAGAGATTAAATATAGAACAATTATCATGTTTTGTTTTTGTGAAATCAAAGTAAGATATGAGGATTATGTCTAAAACAGACAATATCATACGTGTAGAGATACTTTGAGTATTAGGTACCTGTTGTCTTTAACAATATTTAACTCCAAACTCCAAATAGGTTCAAACTTCATGACAATCCTTTTTTTTTTGTATGAGTTAAACAATTATAGGTGAAAAATCAAATCATCGAACGATAAAATAGTAGGTCGTGAATGTTGGAATGGACTAGGGGCAAATTTGAGAGGTGAAAGGGGAAGAGGGGCATGATAGCAAAAAGAAGAAGTTTGAGAAATGAGTTAAGAGTGAAGAGTAGTGAGTAGAGGCATTTAATTTCCTCAACCTCCGAGCCCACCCAACCCCCAATGTCCTATATTCTTTACTTTCTTCTTCAGCTTTCTACCTTCAAACCCTAGTGAAAAAAGGGGCACCAAAAACAAAAACAAAAAAAAAAATACAACAATCAACCAAGTTGCAGAAAAAAAAAAAAGGTTCAATCGCAGGTGAAAGAAGATGTTTTTACTTCACAATCCAAAGCAACCGCACTAGCCCCTCCTTGCACCCACAATCTACTCAAAACTCCCACTTCACCCATGGCTGCCTTTCCTCTCTCACCCACCATTTTCATCTTCCTCTTCTTCCTTCTCTGCAAATCCATCCATTCCTTTTCATCTCCTTCCTTTTCGCTTTCTGGGTTTCGTGGAGATCCAGATTTCGAGCTCAATGTCGCCCTGTACGGCGATGCGGCGGTTGTCGGCGGCGGCGGTGCTCTCCGGCTCACCGGCCCGGCCAGTTCCAGTGCTGGGCGAGTCATGTACAAGAAACCCATCAGCCTTGTTCGAGGTAAACCCAGGAGATTGATGTCTTTCTCCACAGATTTCTCGTTTTCTTTCTCGCCAGACACGGGGGATGAGGGATTGGGTTTTCTTATGGTTCCCAGTGATTTTAATGTTAGTGCCTTCGATAACAGACCATTTGGGCTTCCTTTTGGATCGAAGGAACAGAAGTTGAAAACGATCTTTGTTAAATTTACGGCTTCTTCCGATGCTAAGAATGGTGATCTGGTTTGGACTCGGGTGGGAATTGATGTGGGTTACAACAATAATACTCCGTTAGCTGGTTCAGGTAATTTATCAAACAGTTACCAGGCATCAATTAAGGGGCAGAATTTACACGCTTGGATAGATTACGAGGTGGGTTCTAGGAAATTAGAAGTAAGATTAGCAGAAAATGGCAAGAAGAAGAGGCCATCTGCGCCATTGTTTTCGATCCCAATTGATATCTCTCAAATTTGGGGAGAAGATGAACAAGTGCAGGTGGGTTTGAGTTCATCAAATGGGAACTCCTCCCAGCCATGTCTGGTCTATTCTTGGAGCTTCAAGGTGAAGAACATTCCGAACTGGATGCATTCGGAGCCGCTCGATCCGAAGACGATCACCGTCGCGAAGGAATCGGAGCCTCAAAGTGTGGTTAAAGAGGGCAAGAACTGCTTAATGAGAGTGGTTGCGGCCATGATTTTTGGGACTGGGTGTGGGGCATTGACAGCTTTTGTAGCACTGTATTTATGGACCATCTTTGGGAATAGGCGCCCTGTGGTGCCTGAGGAGTTTGCGGTGTACAAGAAAGTTGTGGTGTTGGACAAGCCCACGGAAGATGATGGTAACAAGAAAGTTGATGTTTGAGGTTGGAGAGAATTGTCTGTTGTAAAAAGCCAATATGTTTTGTTCTTGTATTTGAAGGGTTTTGGTTTTTTTCTTGTGTTGCTGTAATTTGGCTATCAATTGTCTAAAGATGTAGTTTTTTTAGTTACATTATGTGCAAAAGGGCAAGCCCATCTCATCTGGCTTTTGTACTGTGATTACCAATTTAATGGAACCCATCTCTTTGAATCTGCCCACTCAAAACCTAATTTTAGGCTGATTTCGACTTTCTTTTTGCATCATATGACATTGCCAAGCCCACAGCTAACAATTGTAACATGAACTGAAAAGCTTATAAAACCCAATAGTCTGAAACTCAACCTTTGAGAGTTTGGGTAACATAACTTCAAGAAATCCAACCTCGTTAAAAATTGGTAGAAACATCTTTTTTGCAACTTTACAAGAGGCCTCGTCGCTGTTTTAGTATGTAACCAGAAGAATACTAGGGAAATCTCTTCAATGGGAATTCTTGATCCAAACAATTTCTCTATTGAATTGATCAACATTTCAGAACAGATGAGACTTCAGCAACACTTCAAACAAAACAAAAAACATCATTCAAAACAGTTCCACACACTTGCCTTTGTGAGCTTTTACTATTCAATCAAATGGCATAACTTGGCTTCAGAAGGTGATGTTCACATATGGGATTTGAACAAAAATTCATATTAGGTAGGTTAAAGATTTAACTGTCTGCAGACAATCAGTTCAGAAGTCAAGCCACATAAAAGACAACAGAAAATAGACAAATCCATGTCTAGCAACATAAAGTTGCAAAAGTTGCAACACATATTACACATCCCTACAGACATAAAAAAACCCCTTCATACAATCTTCTTCCCTTACACATCTTCGGGTTCCTCCTCTTCTTCATCGTAGTAGTCGTCATCAGCAGTGGCATCTTGGTACTGCTGGTATTCAGAAACCAGATCGTTCATGTTACTTTCTGCCTCAGTGAACTCCATCTCGTCCATGCCTTCACCKGTGTACCAGTGCAAGAAAGCTTTCCTCCTAAACATGGCAGTGAACTGCTCACTCACACGGCGGAACATCTCCTGAATTGATGTGGAATTTCCAATGAAAGTCGAAGCCATCTTCAGACCAGTTGGGGGGATATCACAAACGGTCGATTTGACATTGTTTGGAATCCACTCCACAAAGTAAGAAGAGTTCTTGTTCTGCACATTGAGCATTTGCTCGTCAACTTCCTTGGTGCTCATCTTGCCTCTGAACATAGCAGAGGCAGTCAAGTAGCGACCGTGTCGTGGGTCAGCTGCGCACATCATGTTCTTAGCATCCCACATTTGTTGAGTTAGCTCTGGAACAGTCAATGCTCTGTACTGCTGGGAACCGCGGGATGTAAGAGGAGCAAAACCCACCATGAAAAAGTGGAGACGAGGGAAGGGAATGAGATTAACAGCGAGCTTCCGGAGATCAGAGTTAAGTTGACCAGGGAATCTCAAACAGCAAGTCACTCCGGACATTGTTGCAGAGATCAAATGGTTCAGATCACCAACTGCTCCAACAATAAACGTGAAAGAAATTAGTACAAACAAACACGACTAAACCAAATTGTATTTAAAATATAGCACAACACCTTGAATTTAAGATGCACTTTAATTTCCTCTACGTAAAATCACTAGGCAAATAATTCTTGTAACAGATCTCATCAGTAATTTACAGCAACTTCTCACATATCAGCTTAAACTCAACGTATTTAACTCAAGACATTCAATGAAATTAACAAATATTCAGCAAACTACTAAAGCAATCGGTACAGAGCAAAGAATAAGGTTCCAAGTGTTTAAAAGAAGAAAGATCTTACAGCTTGGAGTGGTGAGCTTGAGGGTTCGGAAGCAGATATCGTAGAGAGCTTCATTGTCAAGAACCATGCACTCGTCTGCATTCTCAACCAATTGATGAACTGAGAGGGTTGCGTTGTAAGGCTCAACAACAGTATCAGAGACCTTCGGGGATGGGAATACAGAGAAGGTAAGCATCATCCGGTCTGGATATTCCTCTCTGATCTTCGAAATCAGAAGAGTACCCATCCCAGATCCAGTTCCCCCTCCTAGAGAATGGCACACCTGAAACCCTACAAAACCCCAAAACCACACAAATGTTCAGCGAAATCCACAGAGATGAAACAAAAACAAAGAGGCAGATCGAGAGCAAACCTTGTAAACAATCGCAATTCTCCGCCTCCTTCCGGACGACATCGAGCACAGAATCAATAAGCTCAGCGCCTTCAGTGTAGTGGCCCTTGGCCCAGTTGTTTCCAGCACCAGATTGACCAAAAACAAAGTTATCCGGCCTGAAGATCTGGCCATAGAGCCCAGATCTGATACTGTCCATGGTACCGGGCTCAAGATCCATAAGAACCGCGCGAGGAACATACCTCCCGCAACTGGCTTCGTTGTAGTAGACATTAATCCTCTCGAGCTGAAGATCGGAATCTCCCTGGTACTTTCCGGTGGTATCAATGCCGTGCTCGGCGCAAACAACTTCCCAGAACTTGGCGCCGATCTGGTTGCCACATTGCCCACCCTGAACGTGAAGGATCTCTCTCATTTTCGCAGAAGAAGAAATGGATTCTGTGAGAAATGCGAGAGGGAAAATAAATGGGAAGTTGTAGGGACGGAAATGGAGGGGTTATCTTTTTTACAGAGAGATAATGGAATGGCTTATAAAGAGAGGGAGGAGAGAAATTGGATTTAGGGTTTTTTGGTTTTAGAGAAATTGAATGAGCTGTGAATTGCAACCGGCTACCTGCTGCGGTGGTAACGGTAAATGGAATGCGCTGGATGGTTTTCAAAATTTGAAATTCAAATTTCATTTAACAGCTGGACTAGACCCGGCCCTTTACCAAATCCAATAAATAAATTTTAAAATAAAATCCTTTTGAAACTTCATCATCAGAGAAGTAGCTCATGCATTAATTAATAAACCTTGTTGGATCCTTTGATCTTTTTCGAGGTGGGATTATTAACACTTTTAATCTTGCAATACTCACCTCAACTGCATTAAAGACGATGAGAGGCAAATAAGCGCCTTGTAACCGTAGAGTCACGTTTCTCAATGATACTCCTCTGTGAAATTATGAGTCCCACCAAATGTGCGTAGTTTCTTTGCATTAATTTTCGACTCAACACCAACTCAAACTAAGTAACTAAGTAAGAGTGTTCAAAAAATGATGACTTCAAAAAATCAATCAACCTAAACAAACACCTACACTTGTTTGAGTTGAATCGAACCAACTCGAACTTATTAATTTTAAAACTTTTTATTTTACTCACCATAAAACCTATATTTAGTAATAATTATTTAATTTTATTTCATCCAATAACCTTTTATAGATTATTTATTCTACATCGGGTTTTAAAAACAACTTTTAAAGTTTTTTTACGGTACTTTTTTCACCCTATAAATAAACATCAACTTACGGATTTTAATTCAATGTTAGACAATATATAAATAAATATTTTAGATATTATAATTTACCTTTTTTTTACACTACTTTAAATAAGTGACTCAACTAACCCAAACTAATCATATTTAGGTTGAGTTTAATATTTAATAAAAGTTATTTGAGTTGAATAAATTTAACAATTCGAACAATTGAATCGGGTCTAAAAAGTACCTCGACTCAACCAAGACCTAATCCATGAGCACCTCAATAACTTTAACTAATTAAGTTTTGGAGTGTACATGTGCAACGTTGCCATTTAAGCCCACGTCAGCCTCCCCTCATACCTGTCGACGTGTAATATCACCACAATCGTGCATCAGTGTGGTCGGAATCAAACTTATTATTTGTAATTTTAACAAAAGACTCGTTGTTGCATTTTTCAAATTCTTAAAATCATATAATGAAAGTTATACATGCTAATTTTGTTGGGGAAAATAAATAATTTTGTCTTAGAAATTTTTTAAATGCAGAATTTTATTGAAGATGAAGAATGATGTATTCTCAAATCTCAACAATAAGATCAAATAGTTGAAGAAAAATTAAAACTCAGAATTTTATTTTTTTTATTTTATTTTTTTTTGTTCATAGCACGAAATAACGAGGAAAAACATAGCTTTCCAAGCATGTCCTCAAAAATCTAAAAAATCATAAGTTAAATTTGTCGTTTAACAATCAAATGATTTACCATTCTATGTTATCCTATGTTACCCAAAATAGAAAGAGATGAATCGGACGAAAAAAAAAATATTAAATTTAACACCTGTCCATAATGGGACAGGAAAACCCATTGTCTTAAGTGGGAGAGGGACATTTTAACAACTTTTGCCCCTTTTATTTTAATATTAAAAATTAAATGAAAAATATATATATAATATCCCTGTCACAGTCCTAACTTTAAATGTCATTCTATCATTCAAAAAATAAAATTTTGGCAACTTTCATATTTTTTAAAAAAAACAGAAAAAAAAATATCTGAACAAAAAATATATATTTTCGTACATTTATCTTCTACTTGTTAAAAAGATTTAGAAAACTATACAGATATCATAAAATACATTCAATCAAAAAAAAAAGCATAAAATACATATATTTTTATAAAAATGTCACTACCTTTTGTTTTCTTATCATGTAATTGTATAAATTTACAATTTTGGCCCTTTGAAATTTTTTAACATAATGCTATATATAAAATATATATTTATTTTGTGATATTTTTGTAATTTTTAGCCAAAGATAGTTGCTGACCAATAAATACTTTTAAGTATTTTTCTTTAATTTTAAGGGAGCTAAAAATTTCTCTTAATTGCAGAGAACTCCCGACCTCCCCCTTTGATTTAAAAACAAATGGAAACGGACTAGATCCTTGTCCCCACCCGTCTTAATAGCAGCAGAATCTCCATAGCCAATGAATATGTTGATTGAAAGAGAAGCGAATGTGATATATTTGTCATTTGGAGCCAAAACTTTCAAGCAAAGCAAAATAGAGAGGGTCTCACTCGGAAAAAGCACAAAGCAAAAGAAAGGAGGCTTGGTCACAAAGATAACCCATGGCAGAAGGGAAGCCATTGCCAAAGTAAAATAAAAATTACACAAGAAAGAAGCCCACATGAGTTTCAGAGTCACAACACACACTAAGAACTGGCAGCCATGTGSTATATGCTTGTGGTTGTGGTTTTATTTACAACTTCAGCCACTCCAAGCAAGGACAGAACCCCCAACAGAACCTTGAGGGGTAGTAGTCCTTCAAGTAAACTTCCCTGCTGAAACCCACAATGTAGAAACTGAAGGACCTTCCACGGTCTCCCATCGTGACACGGGTCACCGGTACGACCGAGATGATATGTCGCTCGCATATGACCCGTGCAGTGGGGGAGATGGGCGTTCGATCTGCGATGACTTCGGAAGAGAACTTGTTGAGGAAGAAGGAATCTGCAAAGAAAGCTGGGGCGCATTGATAGGCCTGAGTGTTGCATAACTGGACCCCTTTGGCTCTGTGGAACACTTCGTCCGGTACAGATGCTGCTCCGCTCATGGCGCTTACTTTTCGAGTCGAAAGTGTCCTCCTGTGACAGAAGAATTCCTTTCTTGTTGTAGTGGTACACATCTTTCAGCAAAAGAGAACATGAATATATAACTAAATAAACAATCTGATTCAAAACTTTCACTTTTGTGGTAGTCTAATTGATATACACAAGAAGTTTAATCATCTACTCCATATTCCAAAGCCAAAAAATGATGAGGGCAGAATAGGAAGGTTAGCTCACAAAATCTATGTGGTATAGCTATAAAAAGTTATACCGGAAAAGGTAAGATTCTTCATGTGGGACTTATGCCTTGGGAGGTATTAAAATGGGAGCACTACTTCAAAGAACTCCTACCATTCAAATTTCACCTACTCACTGCTTTCTTTAAGGTAGAGGGAAGAAACTCGAGATCGTATGTTTGTTCGTTGCCACTCTGATTAGTAATTAGTTAAGGGATTTATTTGTAAGGAATTGTTAATATAGTAAGCGGAAAACGATGAAGGCAGGCAATTATTTAGTGGGTTTAGGCTTGAATAAGAATACTTAAGAGTTAGAGGTTCCAAGTAACTCGAATACTTGGAGTTATATCTTCTGTCTTTTTTTATACTTCAATATTATTCTAGTTACTTGAGTGTCTGTTTTGGGAAAGTTTGGAGGAAAAGGAACTGAAGAAGTTTCCAAGCATTGGGAAATTTTGAGATATCATGATTTTCATGGCTTCCCTTTGGAGCTCTTTCCATAAATATTCTTTTGTAAATAAGATTGGATTATTTTTCAATTAAAACCAACCAACTAGGGGATTTTTTGTAATCCCCTTGACTTCCGGTTGATTTCTCACCACCCTTTCCTCTTTAAATGAACGTTACTCCTGCTTCATGTCAGAAAATACTATAGCTATAGAACAGCAAGTCGTAATAAAATGTATCAGAATTAGTATGCACACCATCTAACAACGGCAATACTCCGAGTCAGAAGAGAACCACTTTGTTGGCACGTGTCGCACTTAGTTAGGCCACGAGATCCACAAGTTGCACAGGGGATTTTCCCCTTGCCATCACATTTTGCACATCTGCATAAGACATTAACTATTCAGCATAGAGAAACAAAATAGTCTAAACAGAAAGTTATGTCACCCAGCAGCAACAGTGAAATTTTAAGTGGGTTAGTATACATCAAACAGGTTGACGAGTCTCATGGAAGAATCTAATTATCGAATAATTTCTTAAGACTCAATGATATACTGATAAATAACTTCTTACATGGTGTCAGATCCATCTCTATGAGCAACCAAACCCCGACCGCGACAAGAAGGGCATTCTGCCATCTGATTTTCAATATAAACTCCAGGTTCTTGATCTGCATTACACGTCGGACATACAAGACCTCCTCGTCCCGCACAGGCTGCAAATTTTTTCATACACAAGTGTCAAAAGCAAATGATTAGTGCCTAATACTAAAGATTTTATAAAAACTCCGGTTGAGTTATTAGGAATCTTTAAAAGGTTAAATCAGGTATTCATACTAAACATAAAGTAAAAGCACTTCAATAACTACAAATTTGATTTCCAGAGTCCTCACCTGAACACTTCTCAACGGTTTCTGAATGAGGAATCGTTTTCCTTGATTCTTTATTATGTACAAAAAGAAGTGGGAACTCAGATTTCAAGTCCAATTCCCAGACTCCAAGTTCAGGACCATTATTTCTTCCATCAATCGTGCCACCTCTATATGCCTCGGTTTCTCTTATAACATCCCTTTCCTCTATAAAAGTATCCAGAGTTCCCACATAAACATTACAGTCTTCCACTGCAATAATCTTCCAACTACGAGCAGGACGACTTCCCCAACAACAACGATGACCGACATGATCAATAAGCAGTTCTCTTATCTCTACTTCATCCAATACTTGTCTGTCAATTCAGGAGCCACATTAATGATTTGCCATTGAAAGATAGACTCGACTCTTGACCAGAGAAAATGAGTGATGTCTGAAAACTGTTTTGATAATCAGTTTTCTACTTTTTGGATAAAAAAAGATGTAAAAACATGTACAGTTGAAAGTGTGTTTGGGGCTTTGTAAGTGATTTTGGAAGGAAAGAGTGTTTTTTTTTTTAATCTAGAGCATAATAATTAAATTAGTTTTAAATCTTTTATTTTTCAAGAAATACTTTAAAGTTATTATCTAAAAAGTGATTATTGATCGGGAATCGCTTTATCATAATTTGACTTTTGTGGGATCACGTTTAGATGCATTGCAACCATACAAATTTGTGATTAAAATAAATTTTAAGAAAATGTAACCAAACACATAAATGTTTTGATCAAAACCATTTTTATTTAAAATGATTTTTTAAAAAGTGTTTAAAGTTTAAACTAAAAGTGTCAAACTCACCCTAAAGTTTCTTAAAAGTTATATATTGCTTCTTTAGTGTATTATCACAAATGGTCTATACCATCAAAATACAAGTTTCAAAGATTTGCAAACCACACTAATATTAACTTTTACGAGTTATTCAATTACAATTTTCAAACGCACTTTTGAAAACAAAAACAGAACTGTTTCCAAGACAGCACCTAAAGCTTTAAGATCACTAAGACACATGAAAGAGTGAATGAGAGCCTCCCCCATACTGCCATACAAACAAACAGATGAATAATGAGTGTGTTGGAGCTAACCAGTTATTGATACTATTTATCATTTTCATGTCTCCATTTTCAACAAAGCAAACTAAGTGCCGCGGAATGGAAATCGATGCATGATCTAAAAAAATTCTACGAGTTCTACGCTCCTCTTACCTTCCAAAATCATTACTGGTTGGACCATACTGTCCTCCATATCCACCTTGATAAGAAAGAGCTTGATCTGCAATAAATAACTATTCATTAAACATCCATGATAATTTTCACGATTCAATTTCACAGACTTCATTATTTGTTTCAGATTCTAAATAGCAAATCTCAAAATTCTGATCATACTTAACAAGAAGCGAAACAGTAAGTAGCAATCAACAAAAGAAATGGAAGATTCTGGCATTGAGTAATATCAATTTCCGCAAAAGATCCAAACAATTGACACCCACGAATTTGATTCTTCATAAACTAATTCCAACGCGATTGCGTACCTCTAGGATCAGGCTCTGGCGAACTAACCAATGCGCCGTGAAGAGAAGGTGGGTAATAATCAGAAACATAGGGCGCCGATCGAATTTCTTCGACGCTGACTTGGGTCCCTGCAGATGAATCGGTGGGGTTCGCGGAGCCTGTTCTTCTCAAGTACTGATAAGAACTCAACTGATCACTCCCTTTCTCTCCCAATTCGCTTCGATTTTCTTCCCCGAGCCAAAGTGAAAAGAGAAAGGGGGAAAATCCCACGAACAAAAACTATCAGCAATGCCAATTCGAATTTAGAACTCTAAAATTTTCTACCAGTACAAATCAAACGAATGGGTACCTGAAAGAAGGGGATCCTCCATGTCTGTATCTTCGTGACTACAATTCGGGGAGGGGAGAAACTAAAGTAACTCTAATAACAAGTCCATTTCCTTCGGAGCGAAGAAATCAATCGAGTTCCTGGTGATGGTTTGGATTTTTGTCATGTTGATAGAATTTCTCTATTATTTCTTGGTCCACGTATTGCTGGATTGTTTCCATGTCTGTCGCCTTCCGTTGGTTCGTTCAGTACCCTCCGGCTCTTCGTGGAACAGTGGAGTATGATTTTTTTTTTTTATTCTTTTGGGTCATTATTATTATTTTTAGTACAAACACGAGGTAGGTATCAAACTTACTATCTTTTAATTTGAAATGTATGTCTATCATTATTGAGATAGGCTCCTTCGAGGATTCGAACACATTACTGTTTGATCGGTATCTCAACTACTTGAATTATGTTCATTGCTCAAGTTGTTTGATTAATGTAGTATAATAATTTTTTATTATAATGTTTAAGTACTTATATTTAAATATGTATTTCTTATCTATTCATCTTTGTACGGACATAGATTTTGAGATAACAGGTAATTAATTTCAAGGAAGGATAAACGAGTACAATTCATATATCTCGAAGTATAGTAGTTCGATCTCTTTCACTAGCTCGATTTCTCATTGAGATTTCTCCTATATCAAGCCCTCAATTCTAATCCATTATCGGATTAGGTGACAAATTGATACTCCTGAGCAAGAATTTTACACTTCTTCGACTTCCATCACTCATCTCGTAGAGTTGTCATGTCACGGTCGGTATGGATTCACATTTTGTTGCTCTATGATTATAGATGTTTTGATCCTTCAACTAAAATGACATAATGTAGTGTATTTTAAAGACTTGAAATATGTGAAATTGTTTAAACACATGTGTTGAACGGTTTTTTATAACATATTATTTTTATTAAATAGAAAAATAAAATTGATTTTTAGACCATTATTGTATTTGGTAGGAAATCTACTGACGGAAATATACGTTGTGTGAGTGGCAAACCTGATATGTTTATGTGGATATGGTGGAACGTAATAAGGATGCTTGAATAGTCAATGTTAATTATAAGTTTGTTGTTGAATTTTAAACCTAGTTTTCATGAGTTTATTAAACTCTATAAAGTTAAATTCCATTGTTAAAATTTAAATCACGTGTATATTTGATATTTTATTTTCTTAATTGATGATTAGTCTCTGTTTAGTCAACAAAGTGTATACATGTTTCACAATAATATTAGTATAACTTACTTATATCTCAAATTACCATGTATGTTCTATACGATTAAAATATTAAAATAAAATGAAACAAGAGTAAGTAAATCAGGATGTCTATAATACTCGTATGTATGTTGCAATTACATTATCTAATCACGTAGGTATTGTTCCATACTATATCTTAACATTAATAGACRTAGTCTCTCATTCACATAAAGTTGAGCGGTGCATTGTTTCAATATTTTCTAACAGAATGTAAGAATAAATTGGTCAACAGYGTTCCATCTCTCATCTTCATATAATTGTTTATACTTAACTAAATGATCGATGACTTACCCCAGACGTGCAACAAATTGAGTATGTGTACCGATCCTAGAAGAAGATTACTAATCATCTATTATTTTTTAATAACAAATATCTCATAGACTCATAACTGCTCAAACGAATCAAAACTCATATTTAAATGGAACATTGTACGGAAGAATCATAATTTATTTTGAATTACTTCTATTTATAAATTACTAAAAGAAGCCAATTTACCAACCATAGCTCTTTTTATAACACTAGTTAGTCCATAACGAACRTATGAACTATTTATAATCCATTTCGACACAAAAATCAAGCCCTCTTAAATAGCCTCGACACTGTCAACCATGCGAGAGATTTCTTCATCCCAAATTTCCTCCTAACARTAACAATGTAGATAGAAAATCTTACAAACATCATCACTTTTGAAAATAATTGAACATGGCAAATGTTGATTTAACATAAAATGCAAATCTCTGCAATTTGATCATATGCCTGACATCAAAAGACAATTGAAAGATGGTGAGTGTGGCAGGCCTTATATGCAATGGCAAGTGGCCTATAATTGTAGCTTTAGGGCCCCCTTTTGGGCCTTTTTTCTAATGCAAGTATAGTGGTCCATTTTCCTTCAAAATTATTCCCATTCTCAATGTCAACTTTCTCATCTTGTCTTTATTTATTTATATATATATATATATATATATATATATATATATATATATATTAGTTTGACAAAAGAAACAACAATTTGAGTCCTCGATGTTTTGATCGATAATATACATATATATGTATTAACTAATTGAGATATGTTTAAGTTAGCGGTATTATTTTTATTTATCTCTTTCCTTTAACATACAAAATAAAATGGAATGATCATTTTTTTTTTAAGTGAGAGTTAGATATCACGTTTGGTATCGAACATCATTTTAAATAAATATTTGATGTTTGGCTACTTATAAGTATTTTTAAAAGTTATATAAATACTTGAAAAAATAGTTTGATTTTTTTTGTTTTTTGGGACAATATAATTATAGTGAATTTTCGATGCAAGTGGTCTAGTAAATCACTTTTTCCTATAAATAATTTTGAAAAAAAAGCATTAGTCTGGTGTTTACTTTAAAAGTTTTTTATTTTTATTTTAATGTTTTCAAAGTGTTATAGGATCTTCCATATTAGTTTTGATTATCAAATTAAATGATGCTTTGATATGAGTTTACTCCAATAGGACTTGTTGAAAAAATATTTAAAAAATTGTAAAAAATCATTTTAAGTGTATGATTTTGAAGTAGATGAAAAAACTAAACCATGAAATTCCAAAGTTAGTTTGGAGAATAACTTTTTTTATGAGAAAATATCGAAAATTTCAATAGGCTCCGTAATCATCTGTACTAATTTACTTTTGTTTGTAAAATGAAATGATATGAAATTTTGGGTCATCGCTTTTTCCTTTTTCATTTATAATCAAAAAAGGTAGATCAACACAAATGAGATTTAATATTCAAATCCGTCAAGATATACACATTTAGATGAATAACAAAAAAAAGGAAGAAATTGACATAATATAACGTATTATGTGTTCGCATGACTTTTTAAATTCAAATCTCATCGTTTGACAAGAAGAAATGAGAAAAAGTTTATGATATTGCTTCCTAGAAAATTACAAGATATAGAAGTTGGACTTCGACGTCCCTCTTACAACAAACACGTGAACAATGTTGTAATAATACGTATTGACTAACTACTCTATTTGTTCACATCTTACTTTTTTTTCCTTTTATAAATTATTATTTCGAAACATGATTACTTTCTTATTTATCAATTTCTATATTATTTTTAAAAGTTACTGACGTGATTAACATGAATGGTAACGAGTGCTAACGSCTCCTATAAAGTTAGAATTTTATCAAACGAGTCATCTACGACTCAACTTTCCTTTGCCCACTTGGAGGGTGTCAAGATTGTCGATATCCACGTGGCGCCTTATGACTTGTAAATGAAGGCTGGTTCCATTCCTATTAATGTATCGCCGCGCTTTTTGAAACTTTTACCAATTCGACGATATTTTTAATATTATCGAAATATAAATTATAATTTTATAATTACGGATAGTCCGTTTGTTTCGTTTTAAACTATTCTAAAATAGACATGCACACGGACTTTTAAATAATATATTTTATTATCTTTTCTACAACTAAATATATTGCATGTATATTCGTTTTAGTACAATAAATTTAGTAGAAAATTCGAATTCATGACCTCTAGAGATAAGTGGTCATTTTTTAAGAGATATATATATAGATCGAGTTTGTTGTATACATATCTATGTGAATAAAAAACAGTGTATGAAATTTTTAGGATTTTTTTCAAAATCGTCCTCTCTCACTATTTGCTATAATACTCATTTTCTTCTCCACTCTAACCTTGAAGTATTTTATCTGACTTTATATTAAACAACGTGTTGCACAAATTCAAAATTGATGGTATGTACTTTCTTTTTAACTTATGGACCATATTTAATAAATACATGTCCATTTAGTCACAATCCAACTAACTAAAGTATTATAATGACAATTAAAAAAGTTAGACAATCGAATCTCTATCTCCACCTCGTATATTGTTGAATTAAAAAACTATATTATTATGCAGTGTATGATAACATGAAATCAAATAGTGTAATCTCTCGTTGAACACATAATACAAATTCATCATAAAAAATTCATGATGGGTGTATATATTACGCGCGTAGGATGGAAATTCGAACACAAGAAATTTTAGTTGCGAATATATATCTTAACCAGTTAAGTTAGGGAAAAAAAACTAATATTAAAAGATAAAAAATTAAAATACAATAAATGGAAAAGTCCAACGTTCAATTCATAAGTATCTTATGTTCAGATTATTATCTACTTGATATATACTAGTTTGAAATGTCAAATGTTTAAACAACATAATTAATGAGATTAAAGTTATTATGGTTGACTTTGTAGACTCTCTAAGTTATCTATATTTATATTTAATATATTCGTTAAATTTAAGAAACATAAACTCCACATATTATACCTTAAGATCTATTTAATATGGTGAATAGTATTCATCGATGGTACCTCATCATTAATCAATAGTTGCACAGTTCGTGGTGCGAGATACTTCAACAACTAAGAGGATGGTAAGTCAGTTTTAAGATGAGTAACACTGTAAATATTGGCAATTTAGATCTCATATCCCATTAATAGATGGTAGTGACTCTTAAGTGTCTTGGAGAGATAGATGAAGTGATGAGCTAGATTAATCCTGGCTATATAAATACCAAAAAACTTGTTAACAGAAAATATAAGGCAAGAAAACCTCAGTTTAGTCCCACGGTCATATGAAATCGATATAGTCACTTCACAATGTATCGAATGAAACACCGCATCAATATGCAATGATTTATTGGTTACTACGTGCAGGAACAAACATGCGACAAGATGAGAAGCCAGAGTATATCACCAATTTTCTGTTGAAAACCTATCTACACCGCTATATTACGATTTACTCCCTCTGCAAAATCGGAAAGTATATTGAAGAAAAATGATTACATTTAAAATTTAAATCATCATACATGGAATTTAAATAATTTGAGAGGTTTATTATTAAATACAAATACCAAGTACGAATATTTTTTCCACAGTGAAAATTGAAAATAGGAAGAGGTAATCGGAGTGACGACTGGGATACCGCAGCCCGAGAGAAGAGCCGCCAAGACGAACAAAGCTTCGCCCCCATTTGGTTCTCGTTTTTGCTTTTCCCTAGATTCCCATATAAACGACGACACCCATTATTCTCCTGCTTGATATTTTCGCCTAATTTCACTGCCTTCGTTTGTTCCTGAACTTCCGATCGCCTTATCGACGGTTCTGTCCTGTGGGCTTTTGCCCTTCGGCTGCTGCGGTATATTGCAATGGTTGCCGATTCGAAAGTCAAATCTGATATCTCATTCGCCGGCACTTTCGCCAGTAGTGCATTCGCCGCTTGTTTCGCCGAGGTAATCTGTTAATTCCTCGCAGTATGTCTACATGCGCTGATTTGGAATGTGTTTTGCTTTCTGGAAAAATTTCATATGATTCTGCGGAGGTAATCCGTAGATTTGGGCTTACTTTAATCAGTGTTTGGTGTACTTGTAATTGTTAAATTCAAATTATAAGCGTGGGTATGTAAGATCATTAGCTGAATTTGTCTATATGCTGATCATTAGTTGAATTTGATGGGTCGAGTTTTTTATTATTTTTTTTATAACAAGGTTTTATTTTTATATGCGGGTAGAGTTTTACTGCTGTTTCGAAGAGACTTTACTATGATTAGAACTGGATTTTCTTGATCTATGATGAAAGTTATGACTTCATAACTCTTTGCTTTCCTGTATGTGGGCGAGAAACCTATATTGCGGATAAAGTTAGCTAAAGGGCTGTTTGGTGAAGTTTTTGTTTCTAAAATTTGGGAGAGTGCTTAAAAGGTGAAAAACCGATGAAAGAAGATGTAGATAAGTTGATATTATAAGCATAGTTTCTATGAATAGAAAACTGAGAACAAAATTGTTTGTTCTCAGATGGGGTATTGCACTCAAGAAATTGTTTTTAGCTCTTATACCCCTTTATATTATTGGATCCGAAGTCATTTCTGTAAATAATCGGCTTGCATTTAATATTGATGCAGGCATGCACTATTCCTCTGGACACTGCCAAGGTGAGGCTTCAGCTACAAAAGAAAGCTGTTGCAGGCGATGCCTTACCAAAATATAGGGGCTTGCTGGGCACTGTTGCAACCATAGCCAGAGAAGAAGGTCTGGTGTCCCTATGGAAAGGCATTGTACCTGGATTGCATCGTCAATGCGTATTTGGAGGTTTACGGATCGGGCTATATGAGCCTGTAGGTTATTGAAGTGAATTCTCTATGCCTACTGTTCTGTATTTTAGTTCATATCTAAAACGAACTACTATATTTGTTTACACAACAGGTTAAGAACTTCTATGTGGGCAGTGACTTTGTGGGTGATGTTCCTTTATCTAAGAAGATTCTTGCTGCACTGACAACTGGTGAGCCTGGATTGGAGTTTATGCTGTGTGTAATCTTTGTTCTTGAATCCATGATTGAACATAGATGTAGTTTCTAATGGTTGGCATATTTGTTGTTTATATTAATGCAAACTTATATTTCTCGTCGAGGGTGTTGGGAAAATTTTGAGGATTAGGAGTTTCTGAAAGCATCAAAATGACAATATCATGAAATGAAACATCTGTGAAAGAAAAAGATTTGGGCTGCAAATTCTCGATTGACACCAGCATTGTACTACTAAAAATATTTTGTGTAACACTTTGACACAAATCCCCTTATTGCTCGTATGCTTAAAGCAAAGGACGAAGAAGTGGGTGTTCTGATAAGTTGGAACCAGAGAAAAGCTTGCAAAAAATGAAGAAACTGTCTCTATCTTTGGGGAAGGCACTGGGATTCAGAAGAGGGGTTTTTCCAACCCGTTTTTATGTTTTAACTTTTCACTCATTTTTAAGAAAACTGCTTCCTTTTATAGGAAAAGGGTTGAGATTTTCCAACCAATTTGGAATATTAAGGACTATTTAAAAAAAAAAAAAATCTTAGAATCATCTAAAAGAGGAAAGGGTAAATCAATTTACTAAACTAAATCTTATTAACTCCTTTCCTTTTCCTCCTTATGTAACAGGTGCTTTAGGGATCACTGTAGCAAATCCAACTGATCTTGTGAAAGTTAGACTTCAAGCTGAGGGAAAATTACCTCCCGGCGTGCCTAGGCGCTATTCTGGGGCATTGAATGCTTATTCTACCATCGTGAGACAGGTTAGCTATTTGACCTAAAAATTCCGGGAAAATGTAATTGTCCTTTCCATTTGCATAACTTACATATTAACATATAGGAAGGACTTGGAGCTCTATGGACTGGCATTGGACCTAATATTGCAAGAAATGCCATTATAAATGCTGCCGAACTAGCCAGCTACGATCAAGTGAAACAGGTAAAACATAAAAGCATTTGAAATTGTTGTTCTTAGAACTACTATTGTCTCCCACCTCCATACCGGGGTCTTTTCTGATGTTTCTTGTATTATTATATATTTTGTTGCAGACAATTTTGAAAATTCCAGGTTTCACGGATAATGTTGTTACTCATCTTTTTGCTGGTCTCGGGGCAGGGTTTTTCGCTGTCTGTATTGGGTCCCCAGTTGACGTGGTAATCTCTCTATATCCATGCCAAGCCTCATATTTCATGGGGTTTTATTTAATAATTTCTCAGCGCCACACTCTTTCGAATATATAAAGCACATTTGAATTCGTACTGTTTATCGTAGTTTAAAAGCACACTGTTTATGCCTATTACCCTTCTATTGAAGACTTGGAGTCATTTTCACATTATCATTTACCCTTTTGGCAGGTGAAGTCAAGAATGATGGGGGATTCAACTTACAAAAGCACACTTGATTGTTTCATCAAGACTTTAAAAAATGATGTATGTTTTCTCACCCTTCCAGTGTTTCTTTATCAATTTCTTTATGATCCCAATCCATGTATTTCATTTTCATTAACTTAGTTGAGTTTGTTCTCTTGATATCTGCTTTTACTATAAAGAAACTGCACCTTTAGAAGGAAACAAAAACAGAGTAAATATCTTAATACCATTAGGTATTTGCATTTCTCAGGGACCTCTAGCATTTTACAAGGGCTTTATCCCGAATTTCGGACGGCTGGGATCGTGGAATGTGATCATGTTTCTAACTCTAGAACAGGTACTTCTTTTCCGACCCACACACTTTCGATGTCAATTGTTATCAGCTGCTCATTCTCAGTAACTTCTTTTTTCTATTGAAAAATCAGAAACAATAAAAATAATCAAACTCTTGATCTTCTACTTCTCTATCTGAACAGAACCAATAATTATGAAAGACACAGTTATATGTCTTGTGTCTCCTTTTTCTGGTAGGAAACAATACATCTTTGCTATTGAGACCTTATAAATCAATTATTTGCTGTGATAGGCCAAGAAGTTTGTGAGAAATATAGAATCTTCATCCTGAGCTATTTGGGGGATTGTGGAAGAAGATTGCTCCCTTTTCAGCCATTGCTTAGAGAATAAAAAGCACCCCACATGAAGAGTAACTTTATTTTCTGATTCCATTGATGAGATGAAATATTTTGCTCCTGCCATGGGAGAATAAGTTGAAAGCAATCCTCAGACTGAGGTTCTTTCTCAAAGTTGTCATTCATCTCTGTGCTACTATAAAATATATAATGTCATTCTGCTAATCTTATTAAACTATTTCCCTGAAATATCAGTACTATGTTGTTCTTCAATATTTGCTAAATGCCTTGAATGCTAGACTATAATCAGGTCGTAATCCTCATACGAAACATCTGTTGATGAAATATTCGAATTTTTGGAGATGTTTGGCTCGTGTTTTTTACTTTAATAATCTCGGATGGGTCTATGTAGCTCGAGATCGGAAGCTTGGATTCGTATGGTGTATAGTTTGAATTGTTAGGAGAAACGAGTTCAAATATTAGTCTCTTTTTAGTTTGTGTTTGTGGAATCTGAACTGATGCTTTAAATATTCAGACTCAGTAAAATGAAGTACTGAATATTCGAGATACTGTACTGATAGCCGAGATCTAATTGCCATAATAAACTTTATTTATTTTCTTTTTCCCATGAAGTTGGCAATGATAGTGAGGAAGTATAAAATTTAAAATACACAACATATTTTTTTTTAATTTAAAATAGTGGATAAGACACTTGTTACTTTAGGCTTTGTTTAAGAACCAAAATGAAATCGATCATAATGAGTATTATTCTCTTGATATTGTTTACTATAAAATTTTTGTAATCAGAATAAATAAAATCATTTGAGATTATTTATTAAACTTGTCTAGAATCATAATCGAAATAGGAATAGCTACTTGTATACTATATTTTATTTATTTATAGCTAATTACATAAACATCATTGTAGTAATCGTTTTTTATTAAAATAATAACAAAGGTTAATGTCTTTTATTACTATTTTATTGATAGTAGATGATTTTTATTAAAATAATTTATTTAATATCAACAAATAATAACTAATTAAAAGAATACATCAACTAAAATAATTTTTTTACTACAACAAATTGAGAGCAGAAGAGAAGAATTAAATGTCAATTACTGTCAATATTAGCAACAAATTTTTTATTAGAACAACTATCATTTAATATAAAATATTATTAAACTTTACTGTTATAATATTTAATAGTGATGACTTATATTTTGAAAATTTTATTAATATTAAGTAATAATAACAAAGTTGTCAATCTAAACATAATTCAAGCGGTTAAAGTATTTAATTCTAACTAAAAAGTCACAAGTTTGAATCACTAACATCTAAATGGTCGATGGTCATCTTGGTAATGGTTAAATTCACAAATAATAAAAATAAATTATTTATGAAGCATGAATTTGTAAGAATACAAACAAAACTAAATATGATATGAGGCAGAATARTTTCAAAAACCGACCTTAGCTCAGTTGGTAGAGCGGAGGACTGTAGTAGGAATAATCCTAGTAGCCATCCTTAGGTCGCTGGTTCGAATCCGGCAGGTCGGATTTTTTTAATTTTTTTTCTTTTCATATTATTTATTTTAAGGATTTTTTTTCTAATTTTTTTTAACTGTACAACAATTAACAATCCTTCTTTTAAATGACGTGTTTAATATTAAACAGATTAATATAATAATAAAAGAATAAACAAAAAAAATTTACTCCAGTTAAAATTTTTTTTAATGACAAAATATAAAATCTTCATCTTGGTTTAGATTTATATAATTATGATTGATTTTTTTTAATACAATAAAAGTGAGAGGTGAGAATTTGAACCTTCATTCCGTCCTCTAAAGAATTAGTAAATATTTGTTCATCTATACTTGATAATTATAATTGAAAATTTGAATTTGTATATGGATGGGTAGATTTTCACCTAGCTTAGCTAATCTTATAAGATACAAAAATAGCATACACAATAACCTACTACCCACCTAAAATCCACCTATCTTTTTATTAGTGGCGTAGAAGAAATAATAGTTTAATTATTCCAAAGTTAAAGATTTCAATATATTTATGAAATATAGAAAAGTATTTTTTCAGTCCATATAATTTCAATTTTTTCTTGTATTGAAATTGTTTGAAATTTTGAAAATATATGATGTAGCCTATTTTGATGTTGTGGATGAAAAAATAATAAATTAAGAGATACTGCGTGATATTTGAGGGTAATTTTATTAACACGATCGATAATTCATGTGGTTGAAATGTAAATTCAATAAAAAATAATAATAAAATAAAAAATTTATTGGTCAATTGACTCCCCACTAGACATGTAATAATGAAACAAAATTTAAAACCATTGTACTAATATTAGCTTAGATTATAACATATAATTCATTTTCTTAAATTTTTTTTACAACATGTGGAGTAGGAGATCGAACTCACTACTTATTGGATAGAAATATATGCTAATTATCAATGAACTAGACTTATTTTGACAATCATTGTCTTAAAGTTGAAGTTAAAATTTTCGATACTAAAAATAATAATAATTAAATTCTAACATCGTACCTTTTATTCTATTAGCAAAAAATGCAAAAGATGGTTGATTACAAAGTCGTGGTTAAATTTAAAATAGTTTCCTGACGATTTTATATTTTTCTTTTTACAAGTATTTTTTTAGTGCAATATATGGGGTGGAAAATCAAATTCACAACCTCTTAACTGGAAGTATATACCAATTATCGAAACTATACATGCTTTGATTTTAGATGTGAAGTTGTAATTCATGGTCATCTTTAAATCATAATTAATGTAATATTATTTGAGGCCCATAAACATTATTTTGAACTTTGAATTTGAAATATTTAATTGATTAATTTAATGGTTGTAATTAATACAAATTAATTGATTAAAACCGAAGGCCAAAGTTAGTTAAACTAATGAAAATTTATTCTTCAGTTAATTTGGAAGTCACATTGTGTGGATAAAACTCGATGCGGGAGTTACAAATTATCATGATGTTTGAGTTTATCAATTACCCATTTAAATATAGTTCAATTAATTATATTAATATTTTAAATTTTGATGTCTTAATTTTATTATTTCACACATTTTAACTAAGTTAAAAGGTATTAATATGTACATTATATCCATATATATATACACATACACATATATATGTATATGTAGGTATCTATTTTAAAATTTTTGTGATATTATGAAAACGTGGTTTCATTCTTTTAAGTTTATGTTGATGTCAAACTTATTGTTATATAAAAATGCCAATGGGAATATCAACATGTGAATGAAAAGTTAGTATCCTAATTTAGATATATCATTGAACAAAATGTCGAAAGTTCGAATTTTCTCTTCCGCATATTGTTACTACTAAAAAAGATTATTTATTTTGAAGAAAAAAATTATTTATTATTTATTATGTACTTGCTAATAATTGGTATTTGTAATGTTCCAGTCACAAAATTTGAATTCTAACCTTCATTTGTAGCGTAAAATAAATAAGTCGTATAAAATTGACGAGTTTATTTGTAGACCTAAAATTAGTTAAAAAAATAATATGTAGTGCAAAATTAGCAATTCCACCCACTTGAGATAGCACAATTTTACGCGAGTCGAAGATCTCTTCAATTAATATATTTTCAATAGAAGCTTAGCAAGTTACAGAAATAATAAAATTTAGAAATATGAATTTGTGTAACATATATTTGAATCGTGGAAATAAATAAATTATAAAGAAATATAAGTTTAATGTAACTGAATTTAGCCTGCATATTTATGACTCTTTTTTTTTTATGACTGTCTTTTTTTAAAAGGCATATTTATAGATCCTTAAAGTCACATTACAGTACAAATGAAATAAGTTTTATAAATTCGTGTAACCTATGAGTTGTAAGATTAACCGGTCTAAAGTAATTTTTTTTCCCCATTTTTAGTAGATCTATTATGTTGTTTAACATTAGTTAATGAAGTAAATAAGAATTGAAAATTTTGGAAAAAAGTAAATATTTTTAATCAAAAAGAGAGAAAAAAAATGGGGGAATAATTGGAGCAACGCCAGGTGTGAGAAGTGAGAAGAGCCCTAGGAAAAAGAGCATCGAAATCATCGAAGGGAGTCACGTGCGAGGGGTGGGAGCAGACACGTGCGAAGGGCTGAACCAGCGAACACCTCCAAGAGACCATTCTTCAACTGCCCAACCGAAAAAGACTGCCTCTTTATACCGCAAAGCCCACCTCCGCTCCGACCCTCGCTTCTCTCACTCCATAAGAAGTATCGCCCTTCTCTCTCTCTCTCTCTCTCTCAGGGGCCCAATAAAACGATGCCTCGTTTCTGACGATCTCTACGATGCTAGATTTCTCCTTCTCAGTGCTTTAAGACCCATCTTCCTGTTTCGCCAACTTCTAGATCCTTTTCCGCATCTTTTCTCCGGGGATCTAACGCCTCTCGCACCCAATTTCGGGTAAGTTTGTTCCGGAATGAGCTATGAATCTATTGTTTTGTGTAATTGTTATGGCAATAGTGGGTGGGGTTTTGATTTGGATGTGTGCATTGGTGAGTCTTACTGGGTGATTGTGCTTGTTTGATGAGAAAGTGGGGTTGGTTTGGAAGTGGGATTTTTTGAATCGTTGTGCTGTTTTGGGCTCATTCTCAGCTGAACGAATGGATTTAGTTGAATGGGTCTCAGTTGATTGAAGCTTTTTGTGAGATTCTGAGTTTGTAGCTGTTACCTTCGTTTTCATTTTCTCTTTTTTATTCCCTTTTCACTTTCTTAGCAATTGACACTTTTTATCGTCTTCACAACGCGTACGAAGCTTTACTTTTTGCACTTCTTTTTTTCCCTCCCTTTCAGATTTATGATTTTGGAGTGATTAGATTGTTTATTAGAGATATCGTTGGCGGGTTCAGCTGAAAAAGGAATTAGCGTGCGATTGGGAGAATGGCGTCTATTTCTACTTCTCCAGCTGCATTATCGGGATCTTCAGCCTCTGATCTTCTTCGAAGTTCGAGTAATGGTGTTAGTGGAATCCCTTTGAGGGCTCTAGGAAGAGCTCGATTCAACCCAAGAAGGAAGGACCTCTCAGTTAGTGCCAAGTTAAGGAAGTGGAAAAAGCACGAGTATCCATGGCCAGATGATGCGGATCCTAATGTCAAGGGTGGAGTTCTTACTCATCTTTCACACTTCAAGCCTCTGAAGGAGAATGAGAAGCAGAAGCCTGTTACTCTGGAGTTTGAAAAACCACTTGTTCTTCTTGAGAAGAAGATTATTGATGTTTGTCTTTCCTTACTGATGTTAGTTGCTTCTTCTGGTTGGGTATCTGTCACCGTATTTGGCAATGATTGTCTTTTTCATTCTGGACATAGGTGCGGAAAATGGCTCATGAGACTGGTCTAGACTTCACTGATCAGATTATTTCGTTAGAAAATAAATATCAACAGGTTTGGTATTATTACCATTGACAGAATTCTTGTTCCAATTTGAAGTGTTGAAAAGAAATCTTTTTTTCATGAATTGTCCTCAATAAGTTTCATTGCCTCTCATGGTTTGTTCCAGGCTTTAAAGGACTTGTACACTCATCTAACTCCTATACAACGTGTCAACATAGCTCGGCATCCTAACAGGCCAACTTTCCTCGATCACGTGTTCAATATCACTGAAAAGGTTTGGTGCTCATTTTACTCTTAAAAGCAATATGAAAATTTTTTATCGTAGATTTGGTTATGTTGATGCAAGGAATATTTTCTATATCTCTGTCTTACAGTTTGTTGAACTTCATGGAGATCGGGCAGGGTATGATGATCCTGCTATTGTTACTGGCATAGGAACCATAGATGGTAGAAGGTACATGTTCATGGGTCACCAAAAGGGTAGAAACACAAAAGAAAATATTCAGCGTAACTTTGGAATGCCTACACCGCACGGGTATGTTTAGTCATGTATACACATGTCGTTGTAAATTATACGTAATAGTCCTTGAGTTTTCAAGTATAAAAGAAATGAATTACTCTTAGTTGAATATCAGATACCTAATCCTGATTATAAGTTTCACTTACTTCCTAACAGTTATAGGAAGGCACTTCGCATGATGTACTATGCAGATCACCACGGGTTCCCGATCGTTACTTTCATTGATACGCCAGGTGCATTTGCTGACCTGAAATCCGAGGAACTGGGCCAAGTATGTAACAAAAATATCCTTTTGTCATAGAGCTCTTCCTTTATCTGGGGAACTTATTTCTTTTGGTTCATACATTATGCAGGGTGAAGCAATTGCTCATAATTTGAGGACCATGTTTGGTCTCAAGGTACCAATCATCTCAATTGTTATTGGGGAAGGTGGTTCTGGTGGTGCCTTGGCAATCGGTTGTGCTAATAAGTTGCTGATGCTTGAGAATGCAGTTTTTTATGTGGCCAGGTGCATTTCATGTGTAGCTTCAGCAAATTAACAACTCCACAATAATATCATTATAAGTTTAGCTGGATTACCATTTGCTAATAATACCCGGTTAAATCTTAAAATTTGTTATGCATACTGATCATCTTTTCCTTCTGTTCTTTTGTCTATTCTTACTACTATCTAGTCCTGAAGCCTGTGCTGCAATCTTGTGGAAGAGTGCAAAAGCTTCCCCAAAGGTTTCTAAATTTCTATACATTCAAGCCTTAGTTTCCTCTTTTAAAGGTTTACTTGCACTTGTTGAGATTCTTTTTTATTGTAATTTGCAGGCAGCAGAGAAGCTAAAAATTACTGCATCGGAGTTGTGCAAATTACAAATTGCAGATGGCATAATCCCTGTAATGATGATGTCCTTCACATATAATGTTATTGCATGTTCTTTTCGTAGTTTGTCTTTCTCTTTTGTCTATCCCATCCTAAATATTCTGAGACCATTCGTATCCTCTTAGAAATGAGTGGGGTGAAAGTAAAACATATATGATAGGGCACGGCCTTGTTTCTATGTTTAGAATGCTATGTGCTTCATTATTTTATATATACACCCCATTTTTCATTTTGACAATATCCGTAAAATTGTACTGACTAGTGACTGTGCCTTTAACATTTAATACTATCCAACCATTCTAAATTTAATTAATTTGTTTTTTTTTCTTTTAGTTTCTTTTCCCCTCCACATTAACTGCAGCTCTAAATTGGAAGGCCTTTCTACGACTTACTTTAGTCTTGAATTCTGGCTTTTCATTTAATTAAATTTGTTCTTTTTTTTTTAAAGTTTATTCTGAACCTGCAATGTTTTAAAAAATTATTGTTCACAGGAACCTTTGGGTGGTGCGCATGCTGATCCTGCTTGGACCTCGCAACAAATAAAAATTGCAATAAATGAAACCATGGATGTAGGTTCTTGAATTCTTCAAAAATTATGAAACCTGCTCATGGTGGCATACCTTAATGAGTTTTTATGCATATGTAATTTTAGGAGCTTTTGAAGATGGAGACGGAAAAACTGTTGAAGCATCGAATGCTGAAGTTCCGTAAAATTGGTGGGTTTCAAGAAGGCATTCCAATTGACCCAAAGAGGAAAATCAACATGAAAAAGAAGGAAGAACCCATTGTTGGGAAGACAACAGTTCAGGAACTAGAAAGTAAGGTGGAAAAGGTGAAACAACAAATATTAAAAGCCAAGGAATCCTCAGTTGAGCATTCAGATTTGGATCTGAATAATATGATTGAAAAACTAAAGAAGGAAGTTGATTTTGAATTTTCTGAGGCAGTGAAGGCCGTGGGCTTAAAGGACAGGCTTGTCACGCTGCGCGAAGAGTTTTCGAAAGCAAATTCACCAGAACAACTTATCCATCCAGCATTAAAAGAAAAAATCGAAAAGCTTAGGGATGAGTTCAACCAGGGGTTATCTAAAGCTCCTAACTACGAGACTCTGAAGAATAAACTTGACATATTGAAGGACTTATCTCAATCCAAGGCTCTCTCGGTGAAGGATGTTAAAGTGGCCTCATTGAAGCAGGAAATCAACAAAAAATTCGAAGAGGTTTTGAGTCGATCTGAAATACAGGAAAAATATGAAAGGATGAGGGCTGAAATTGAAAATTCAGGGGCGTCTACATATACGGATTTAGACCCTGAATTGCAAAACAAAATTGATACAGTAAAGCAGGAAATACAAATGGAGTTGGTAGATGCCCTCAATACCTTGGGTTTAGATGTTGATATATTAAAAACAGATGCAGAAGTCCCCAGCGAACAGACTTCATTGTCACTGTTCGAGCCAAAGATAGATAAGTTAAAGGAAGAAATGTACCAGGGAATTGAAAGTATTGCAAGCAGGACAGATCTAAAAGATAAGATTGAATTACTGAAACTGGAGGTAGCCAAGGCTGGAAAGACACCAGATGAAACCTCGAAAAACAGAATTTGGGCTTTGGAGCAGCAAATAAAGCAGAGCCTTGCTACTGCATTGGAGTCTTCAGACTTGAAAACGAAACATGAAAAACTGAGGGAAGAAATATTAGAAACTGCAGAATCTTCAGCGGAGTTGGACCCAAAAGAAGATGATAGTTCCAGGGACAACCACCCAAAAGAAGATGATAGTTCTGGGGACAATCACCCAAAAGAAGATGATAGTTGTGGGGACAACGATGCCAGAATTCAGACGAATTTGGGTCCTGAACATACCTTAGCTTAATGTGAGTTCTTCAACCTTTTTTATCACTTTAAAGGAACACGCGCACAAGTAGTACATGAAGAGAAATTCATAGAAACCTGATAGGCTTGGTGCATCCACATCTTCGAAAACTAGCTCTATTCTTGCCCTTTTTTCCTTTATGCTTGACATCGAAAAATGCATATCTCTATAGTTATGACATATTTTCTTAGGCTTGAGGTACACAGAATCCAGATGATGGAAAAGCTCTTTTGCAATGGATGCAAAATAACTAAGTTGAAGAGTTTTACTTATTACCTTTCAATTTTTTGCAGTGTTTTTATTACTGGGATATGTATGAGCAGGACCATGTTTTAGAAGAAGAAAAATGGACGTAACTGGAAATTAGTTAGAGCTTCCAAAATGGCCAGAAAACCAAGTTAGCCGTTCCTGCTTCTAACCCGAATACGACGTCGCTTGATTTTGATAGGTTACAATATTTAGCATCAACAGGAGGAGAAAGGACACAGGCGGAGCTAGCTACACTTTCTTTTTCCTGTTTTCAGGGATTTTTCTTTTATAAATTAGGTGCCTTGAATTTTTTGTTGTTTCTCTGGCTTCTGGTTTTGATGTTGCTGTGTTCCTTATTTTAAAATTAATAGATCCAAATAGAGCTTTGTATAGATTGCAAGAATGTCTTGGAGGCTAATAATGCTTTGCAAACTCTTTAAAATTATATTTTTCCCACTTTTGAAGGACTGATCATGATTGTTTAGAAACTAAACAATGCTGGGTTGGAACTTTGAATATAGGATCAGAGCATTTAATGGTCTGTGTTCCATATGCAAAAAATAGCCTCTCTTTGAATTGTTCTTGAGGCATGCTGGTTTCACATTCTACTCAGCTCATCCAACAAGGAGCTCAGCTAAGCCATGCTTGTTGGGATTACTCTTTTCAACTTATGAGGTAATTCTTATGGTCTCCCGGTGTCCCATGGTCCGAGTCTTTTAACTAATTCGAGTCTTTTGAGCTTTTTATGGTACCTGGTCTAAATCAATTATTAAGATGATTGTGGTCTACATCAATTATTAATTGGATTGTAAAATCTTTTACTAATTCGAGTCTCTTGAGCTTTTTATGGTAGCTAGCTAGTCTAGATCAATTCGTAAGAGAACTGTAAAACCTTTTACTTCGTATACTTAGCAGGTATCTAAACCCTTCACTCTATAAGAAGCTTTTGCCACATTCAAGGTAAGCATTCTTCTCTTGTTCTCTCGTCCTTTTCACCATAGTCCATGTAATTTGAGCGTTGGAGTCATTTCGACAAATATCGATGATATCAACGTTAATTAGTCTAATTTCCTAAGGTCATGAGATTTTCAACACCCCCATGTCATAATTGTCATCTTTATAATTATGATATTTCGGTAAGCTTTCTTTTTTAAGAAAATAACATTCATTCATTAACAATCACTTCATGTTAATTCAATTATCGAAAGATGTTTTGATAATTATTGAATCTTGTTCAATAAATTGTGACTTTCATTACTAAATTATGCAAAATAAAAATTTCTGTCACAGTTTTCTTCTTTGCTAAAATCTAGTTTGGAGTTGTTCCATTTTGCCAAATTTTCATCGCAATGTAATAAATGTAACCCGTAGTGGGTTGTATACATTCAATTCAAGTGGCTGGAATTAAAACTAAATAGTTTTGAGGGACCAGATTGACTTGTTTATATGGTTTGATTATTGTGTAACATAGTCTATCTATTATGACGTATGAGACCGACAGCTATGTGAAAAATGCGTAAGGTTATTTTATCTTATATTATTCTATATGTTTTAACTTTTTCTTATTCATTAAATTTGATGTACCCACGTAATATAGCTCAGCTGATTGAGACATATATCTTATACTAAAAAGTCGTAAATTATAATTTTCACCTCATGTATTGTAATAATTAAATAATTTTTTAAACCTATCCCTTGATATGTTGGAGATAAGTAGATGTGTTTATGACAATGTAATTAATGAGTTGGATTTAATTCACATATAATATATTAATAATAAAATTAAGTAACGAGACTATGAAATTATATATGTTTTATTTTAAGTACAACAGTTTGGAGATATGGGGGATCGAACTCCCAACTTTGATGGTAGGAATATATGTTAATTACCAATTTAATTTACTATTCGTCAAAGCAAATGATGGAAGGTTCGTATAATATTATTAAAATAGCTTTGGGGTAAATTTGTTGTTTCCGATAAATCAATTCCATTTTCCGAAAAATTTCAAAAGCAGAACTCAAAACGGGGTATTTACAATTATAGAAATTATACACGTGACCTACTTACCATGAATAGTTACACATTTATTGTAATTTAAAATAAATCACAAATTTCATAATTTTATTTTATTTATGAATATATTCTCCATTTTACTATCAAAATAAATAGTCACATTTTTTATGCCACCTATATAAAGTTCAAAATATTAAAGAGTTCATAATTATTATTTAAAAATGTACCTTTACTGTATTAAAGTGCTGTGAGGAGTGAAAACAAATTACACACTAGGCCTCTTGTCACATAATACGTATTATGTCTTCAGATGAATAAGATTTTATTGCCAACAGTCAATTCTGCTACTATAACATATTATGACTATGTTATATGTGTTAAATGAAAAATATGAATGACATTACAACAAGACACTACTTCCCAATACTCTTAAGGCAGAGTCTCAGTGGTACGCAATATCTTACATGTAAACTCGGCTCGACACCAACTCGAACTAAATATTGACTAAAATTTTAGACGGTGATCATCACGCTAATGCTAGATTCTACTTTTAGGTAGTAAATTACTCAAGTTTATGTCATAATTACCTGTTAATGTATCACGCAAGCTATAATCGTCCATCAACAAATGAAGTAATCAATTTATTTATTTATTATATAATTTTGAATTGCTTATTTTTTGAGTTTATATTCTCCCTCACAAGCTATTTGTTGATAAATATATTAATTTTCTTTATAGAAAATTTTATTTCCAAGTCTTACTATCACCTGCCCAATGCCTTGTTTTCTCGTGCCAACGTACAAAACAAAACCAATTAAAATTCTCAAAGAAAAAGAAAAAAGAAAAAAGAAAGAAAGAAAAAAGAAAGAAAGAAAGAAATCATTTAATACCCAAATATAAACGTAGGTTCAAGCTTTGAACCTCCTTCCTTAATTTTGATTTGGTAGCGAGGTGTGCGACTCGTTCATCTTTTTGCACCCACGTTCGTTTCTCTCTCTCTCTTCCCCGTGACATTGATTATTAACTATCATCTTCTTTCTTTCCCTCTCCTCTCTATTTTTTTTTTCCTTTTTCTTTCTTAGGGTTTCGAATGCGACTTTCAGTGGCGGGTGAGGTTAATTATGTAGGTTTTTGCTTCTTGGATTTTTCATGCGACTGTTTCAGCTGAGAATATGTCCGACTACGGGTTGGTGGCGGTGGATTTCTGATTTCCGAGGCCTACACGTTCCTGCTTTCTCATACTGCTTTCAACCCCGCGGTGTTGGATCGTAGTTTGGGCAGGGATTGGCAGTCGATTGCAATTGCCTGCCGAGGTTTGATTTTTTTGTGTTTTGTTTTGTTTTCTTTTTCCTTTTCATTTGGAATGACTTTTTTTAGTTTTTTATTTTTTGCCCGCTGCTCATGTGCTGCCAATTCGCAGAATAGAAGCATCGGGAGTATGGAATTTTGCTTGTCTTCAGGCTGTTTGATTAACTAGGGTTGTAGGTTTTGTTCTACGAGTAATGCGGTTCATATTTTTACTCGAGGTACCGGTAGTCGAAATGGTTGTAACTTTGTGGTATTCGGGTTTGGACTTGCAGGGTTGTGTAAATATTCGGTTACAAGTGAAGTTCACGACTCTCCTGTGTTAGAGGAATTGTGGGCACGCCACGGTTTGGAGTAAATGTTGCTTGGTGGACGTTGAATGATTGTTTCCATGGACTTAAATGCCTCGCCGGTGCCTGATGAGGATGAAGAGACGTTTGAGAGGCATGAAGAGGTGTATAGCGCTCCAGAGGAACATATAGAGACTGCTGTCAGTATAGCACGGCGGGTACGTGCGTTTTTCTGACCTGTATTTTCTTTTTAACAGGAAACATAAACTTTCATTATCGAGAATGATGGTAGAATGGAGGGATGGCTTGTGCGAACATTCAGTTGCAGCTTCCTATCTGTTTTTTCTTTTTGGGACGCCTCATTAGAAACTTATAAATATTTACGTGGAGCAGAGAATAGAGGGAAAGTTTCATTTTGGTGTTCTATGTTCTCTA